GTTCTAAACCGCAAGTCAAGATCCTTACCGTAAGGCAGCGGTCGCAACCGTTACACGCCATCGCGGTAAGGGTCCGTTCACAATTTGGCGTACATTCGTTTGATTTGCTGTTCGTTTACTTGCAGGCGCGTTCGGTAACAAAATTTTTGATTTAATAACTGCTTTAATATGTGTCTTTCCTATTTTAAACACGAACACAGCCATTTGTTTTGTTTTTCACTGCACTATACGTTCGGTTGTTTCATTAAGCTATTTTTATACGAATTAATTTCAAGTTGGTTGAACATACAAATGATTAGGTTTAAACAGTTATTCTATACAGGGGATTCTTCCCCGTTTGGCAGTATGTTGCAAAGTTATTTCTTGGACATAGTATTATGCCTCCAAAGTTCTAGGTACTAACAGATTATGTCCAGCAAGTACAAGTGAGAAAGACCATTGAATAGTTGTTTTCATTCAGTGGATTATTAAAGTTTAGGATGCTCACGAATTTTAGCCGATTGGCCTGGTTGTTAAGTCAGATGCCCCTATTGGTTAGAAAGGATACTACAGTTACAATTTTATGCTTATGAATTGGGGCTATTTCACTATACTGATATAGACGGGTTTGATATATACATAGCTGACTTTTGTCCTGATGTCATTCCCACAGGTTTCATTACGGGAATTAAACTTTGATTGCAGATTTACAAACAACCTTGATAAAATATTTGCCTTATTAGGTTAGTAATTTGGTTTAAAGTTACTATTGTAGGTTTTGCTAGTATAAGAGTTATTTAGTAGGCAATTCACTTTTCGCTTTCCTTAGGTGCCCTGATCATACAGACAGTTGCTTTACAAGCACAACAAACCCGTCATCTGCCTCTGTCATATTGTCACTCCTCATCAATAGTATCTGGTAGATTCCTTTATTTTATTCGAGCCCACGATCTGGCCACTAACATATATCTATACACACAGATACTCATTCATATCCTATCTACAGGTCGCAACACGTTATCTGCTGCCACCCTCTCGTTTCATATTTTCTGCATAACATCTCGTCCTGACTCAAACTTTATCAGGTACGACGTCATAACCCTGTACCTTTCTAGTTTTAGAGTGGTACTGGTTGAGATTTAGATTGTCCAACTAGGTTCTGTTTTCCGGTCTAAATCCATAAGCTAGTGGTCCTGCGAGGCCAACACCAATCCTCATACTCGGAGGTATACGTCCCTCGGCCCAAATCATTGTTAGCCGCCTTGCATGGTCTCATAGAGAGGGCCTCCCATATCACTCCCATTCTATCTAATGCTTTAGTTACCACCGAGAGGCCAACATCCTGCAACAACGTTTCTGTGGCCTCAATCTCCCCTCAGGCCAACGCATAGGTAGTGCCTCTCACGCCGCTTGGCAATTAGTAGGGACTCATTTATCACGTTTCAAATAGCATTATTTGTCGCCGCTTGGCATCTAGCCAGCCTGCCAGTACCCAGCTACTCTGTCCCAGAATAATAATCAAGTTGCATCTATATATTTTCAGTTATGTCTCAAGTTCCTGATATTCCTGAAGAGCAGTCCCTTCTGAGCACTCACGCTAGGTCCGATACTCCCGCCCAAGGAGCTGATGTCACTAGTCCATCTTCCCTGAGGTCATGGACTATCCCACGCCTCACAGCTGAACTGCGAAGGAGATGCATTCCTTTCCCAGCTAGTGCTAGGAAAGCGGAGTTGTTTAGACTTTTGAAAACTAACACCGACAACTCTAATGCTGGGGAAGGTCCTAGTGGGTCTCAGTTGCTGGCTCTTCATGCCATGATGACGTCTTTAATGTCATCCATTGGCACTATTAGCGACAGACTGGAGAAATTGGAAGCAGTATGTTCTCCCCAGGTTCCTGCAGACCCAGTTACTTTTAATAATGCAGGAATGGCTGTCATGCCCGGTAATACTCTGGCATCAATTAAAGTCCCTGAGAGTATCAACCCCTCGCATATGGTCTTAAAAAGAACATTCTGTAAGGCAAGGATGTTAATCTTGTCTCACTTCTTATTGCCTCCCAGGATGTTCTTGAGAACAGGACATTTGCATATGGGGACATTTCATTGGTTCTAAGGGCAAGAGACTCCAGGTTGAACAAAAAAATTGTCTATTCCTGCATTTGTATTGGGTTTCAGGATTTATAGGGATGTATATTCCTCAGGTTATCCTGTGAAAAGAGAGGAATTTGACGTTTATATACACAAGCTGGTGGATCTGGAACACAACTACGGTGGTACTGCTTTTTATGACTATCACCGTTCCTTCTCTGCAAAAGTGGCTGCAGCTCTGACTCAGTTCAATTACAGCATAAATTGGAGTAACACTGAGCTGAACACTGAGTTATTATGCAGACACTTTGCAAATCTCAGACCTCCGACTTGTGCAGTATGTGCATCTACTGCATATAGTACAAACTTCTGCCCTAATACAGCAGAAATTAAACAGGGACACTCTGTCCCGAACTTGGCAAGGCCTACCAGAATCCAAAAAGATAAGCTGGGTAGGTACATCGTGTTCCTGGGCAAATCTCAAATTGCAATAATTTTAATGCGGGCACTTGTGGTTTTAGTTCATGTAGGTTATTACACGTGTGTTCTCATTGTTTTAGGGCTCATGCAAAGTCCATGTGCCCTAATAAAGTTTTCCCTAAGCCTTACCACACTTGCATCAACGTCACTTTTTTGGCTGCACTGTTGCAACAACATCCCTCACAGCATTTGGTTAAATTTATCATCGAAGGACTGTCTGAGGGGTTCCACACGGGTTTAGTACATTTGCCAACTGGGACGCTAGAATGCAAAAATTTGCAAACCACTTTAAATTAAACCAGAGTTAATGTGTACACTTATAAGGACTGAGGTAGAGCAAGGGGTTTTGTTGGGGCCTTTTGTTTCCCCACCTTTCACATCTTGGAGAACCAACCCCATAGGGATTGTCACGGGAAAAACTTCACTCAACCCCAGACTTATCAGCACCACATTCCTATCACTGTTCCAAGCCTTAATTTCCTTATATCCTTCAAAGAATTTTCCTTACAATATGCCACTAGCGACAATGCCATTTGGGCCATTTTGCCGTCTGGTACAGGTGCATGGCTCAGTAAAACGGGCATTGTCAATGCTTTTAAATTACTTCCCATCCACCCTTCACTATGGCATTAAGTGGCAAGGGCTTTATTATTTTTTCTCACGACTCACTTTTGGCTCCAAAAGCAGCCCCCAAATTTTTGACACGTTTGCTGAAACTTTGTGTTGGTTATTACTTAATGTGTGCAGATGTCCATCTGTTATTCACTACCTGGACGATTTCCTCACGATTGAAAATGCACTCCCCCCTAGCAGCTTTACAAACATGTTGGCTCTTTTTGAGTCCCAACTATCCCAGTCTCCCCGCACAAGACCTTAGGTCCTGACACCAGCGTGCAATTTCTGGGGATTCAATTGGACTCAATCCACATGCAAGCTAGCCTTCCCCAGGATAAGATTGAGCGCACCCTATCAAGCATTGAACATTACTTGCAACTAGGTTCGCTGCTGGGGTCACTCAATTTTGCCATGAGAATCATCCAGCAGGGTAGATCCTTTATTTCCCGTTTACTCTCTTTATTCCCATGATTCACCACAGACATCATGTATCACGTTAGACACTCACGCAACCTCTGATTTACTTATGTGGCGCTTTTTCCTTATTGAAAAGTATCAAAAAGATTGATACACACGTACCATCTCAAAAGCTACCCATCCACAATTACATTTTTCATTCACTATCAGACTTATTAGATTCAGTTCCTTTCGAACAAATGACCAATATGGTAATCAAAACTGCCATGTACCTAGCATTCTATGGGTTCTTATGTCCCAATGAATTTACCGCTCGAAATATAACTGCCACGCAATACCTGAAAACGTCTGATATCCAGAAAACCTACATCAGTCTAAAACTAGCCCTATAGGACATACTGTCAAAATTACCCTGTTCCCTACTCAAAACAAATGGTGCCCTGTAAAAGTCCTGGATACTTATCTCATCACAGTTCAGGAACAACCACACCAACCCTTATTAGAACTTCACTGCTCCATCCTTACAACATCAAAATTCATGCTTTATGTTCGCTTACTGTTAACAAGGCTCGGCCTAAATGCAAACCTTTTCTCAGGACACTCCTTCCGCATAGTGGAAGCATCTTCAGCTTCTGCCAACCACATTCCAGCTCATATCATCAAGGCTATGGGACGCTGGAAATCCTCCGCCTACACTCTTTACATTCCAAACCCAGTTAAAGAGTTAAAGCAAGCTTTTCGTGACTTGTCCAAATAAACAAGGTTTTGTTACATGAATAAATGTTGTATGGTATTTTTCTTTTTGCCCACTTTTATTACAGGCCTACTGCTTTGTCGGTTTCGGCACACCACAACCGACTGGTGTAAATTTAAATATGTTTAATGGTTTTAATAATGCATGTTACTTTGTCATCACGGCTATATTGCCCCGACTACAAATATATATATTATTATAAAATATAAATAAATGTAATTTTTTCTAAAAAAGTAATAATAAAAAAATCATTATGTATTTGTAATTTTATTCTAACTGTATTTTGATATATATATTTATAACAAAATACACTTAGAATAAAATGATATGTATATATAAATAAAAATAATAGGAAATATATTTATATATATATATATATATATATTCATATACATAATTACATAAATAATTTCATAAATATACACGGAGACTTCAAATATATAAATATGTGTATATATATATTTAAATTCTAATGTTAATGAGTTTCAGCGCTTAATAGATAGTCCCCTTAAAAATAACAAGGGTGCATTTATATGCAAATGATGTATGTAGTAATGTAAAAGTCATGAAAAAAAATGTCCAGATTATATAAATCGACTACAAAGTCCTGCAAAAAAAAAAGTCCAGATATTGTTGCAATACTCAGAGATATGTAGAGATACCTTAGAAAAAGAGACAAAGAAAGATACATAGTGTAACACTGTATCAAAATTTATTGCCCAGGATACAAAAGAAAGGGTAACCCCCCCAAACTAAAAACTCTTACACTGTATAAAATATGATACTCATCATTGTCGATCATGCAGGAAAAAAAATTCTTTCAAATCTGCTCGTAATGTAGAGTCAAAGCTGGCGATCCGGTTCCTCACGGGAGACGGCAGCTGCCTGGTGCACACAGGAACGCTGGCCGTGTTGGTATCAGTGGGGAAACACTAGCGATTAGTCCAGCTTCTATCGAAAGCTCAGGTGGTCTGCTGCAGATGAGTAGTAGTGGCACCCTATCTATATTTAAATTCTACATGCATATTTATGTAATATTTTTACATAATTTTATTGATTGCAATTTGAGGGACCTGTCTGACAACCCAGGCCAAAAGTCCAAACCATTTAATTTGCAAGCACTGTATTTAACTCTGTAACTTTCCATGATACCCTAAAACCTGTACATGGGGGGTACTGTTTTACTCGGGAGACTTCGCTGAACACAAATATTAGTGTTTCAAAACAGTAAAACATATCATAGTGATGATATTGTCCGTGAAAGTGACGTATTTTGCATTTTTCACACACAAACGGCACTTTCACTGATGATATAATTGTTGTTATACGTCTTACTGTTTTTTTTTTTTATAATTCTTTATTTTTGCGTGCACGGATACAAAGAACAGGCATTCGCAAACAGACATCCCCCAATACCCCACATTGTGAACAAAGGTTACAATGGGCATGCGGAATACATAACATATAGTGCACCTTTTTCTTCTCCCAGTACATCGTTTTGTATCGAAGTGTTTAAGTAACCAGAAGGGCCCGATCCATCATCGGGTTTCAGGACTCTTGGTCAGCTTTTGGATAGAGGACTCTTAACAAATTAAAATTGGCTTAGGGGGTCCGTCTGTGTAGGCCAGCCCCACCCGTTCCCTCTCATGTTGTTCACTAGTCATGTGACCTCGTTCCTTCTAACATACCCTTTTAATTATTGAACAGGTACCTAATGTGTCTCCGGGTAGAGCTGGTGTTGCCCAAAGGCCCAATCCTAATATTCTTCGTAATATATTGATCCCAATAAATGGTGATTCCCTAGGATCCCCTATGCATCTCCCTGTGGTTACGTTTTCCTGTTTTTAACCCCTTAAGGACCAAACTTCTGGAATAAAAGGGAATCATGACATATCACACGTCATGTGTCCTTAAGGGGTTAAACACTAATATTTGTGTTCAACAAAGTCTCCCGAGTATTTTAGTACCCCCCATGTACAGGTTTTATAGTGTTTTTGAAAGTTAAAGGGTCAAACATAAGGCTTGATTTTCCATTTTTTTACATTGAAAGTTGCCAGAATGGTTATGTTGCGTTTGAGAGCATATGGTAGCCCAGGAATGAGAATTACTACCGTGATGGCATACCATTTGCAAAATAAGACAACCCATGGTTTTGCAAATGAGGTATGTTCAGTCATTTTTTTTTTTTATAAATTCTTTATGGTTTGTTTTTGTTTTTTTTCCAGTTTTGTTCAACAGTGTAGGAAGTTACAGAAGGCAAAGTAAAGAGGTTAATAGGATAGGCAGTATTACAATACATGTTAACGGTGGTGTGGTACATCTTAACATGAGAACATTATTTCAATATTTCATTTTCATGTAACGTGTTTCAGAGGTTCCCTTTCACTTTCTAGTTGTAATATAATTTTTTTAGTTTTCCTTCGACAGTAGGAGTTGTTAACATTAGTGGTTGTGGGAGTTCTGACAAACTCCCCTCTCCAAGTGAGTTTGCCACGAGCTCCTGGGGGAGCCTGCTTGCCAGCCTCCTGCCCACAGACTATGGGCCCTGCAGGGAAACCTTTTAAAGACTACCAAACTTGACCAACTGGAAATGATTTGGGCATGGGGCCATGCTTGCGGTCAGTCAAAACTATGACTTCCAGGAAATTCCTGAACCCCTGAACAGATCTGGGTGATTTTTGGATATGTTGTTCACCCAGATCGGGGCTATCAGGGGATGTGACGGGGATATGGGATATGTTGTGTTTTGGGGTACTTATGGGATTTTATAAAAATGTGTGCCTTTTCTGCCTGTGGATAATTAGGTTATTGTATTATCTATCTTAATTGTCTCACAGGCAATGTACAACACTGTTTTTATTGGCTTGTTGATTTTATGTCCTGTCCTGTGTGAAACTTGTATAATAGACAATGTGCCTCCATTAACCCCTTAAGGACTGGACTGTTTTTGCGATGTTGTACATTTGTGACCAGGCATATTTTTACACTTTTGTGGTGTTTGTGTTTGGCTGTAATTTTCCGCTTTCTCATTTACTGTTCCCATACAAATTATATATTGTTTTTTTCAGGACAAAAGGGGCTTTCTTTACATACCATTATTTATATAATCTCATGTATTTTAATTTAAAAAAAATAAAAAAATATGATGAAAAATTGAAAAAAATACATGTTTTTTGACTTTTACTTGAAAAATCTTTTACTCATCTACAAAAGCGAATGAAAAAAACTGCTAAATAGATTCAAAATTTTGTCCTGAGTTTAAAAATACCTAGTGTTTACGTGCTTTTTTGCTTTTTTTTGCATGTTATAGGGCTATAGGTACAAGTAGGATATTGCGGTTTCAAAACATACATTTTTAAAATTTATCAGTAGTGACATTGTAACACTATTATCTGTCATAAATCTCTGAATAACACCCCACATGTACATATTTTTTTTAAAGTAGACAACCCAGGGTATTCAATATGGGGTATGTCCAGTCTTTTTTAGTAGCCACTTAGTCGAAAACACTGGCCAAAGTAAGCATTCATATTTGTTTGTGTGTGAAAAAAGTAAAAAAACTAAATTGAACGCTAATTTTGGCCAGTGTTTGTGACCAAGTGGTTACTAAAAAAGACTGGACATACCCCATTTGCAATACCTTGGGTTGTCTTCTTTTGCAAATGGTATGCCATCATGGGGGTAATTCTCATTCCTGGGCTACCATACGCTCTCAAAGGCAACGTAACCAACCTGGCCATTTTCAATGTAAAAATATTTGACCCATATATTTGACCTTGTAACTTTCAAAAATGCTATAAAACCTGTACATGGGGGGTACTGTTTTACTCGGGAGACATCGCTGAACACAAATATTAGTGTTTAAAAACTGGAAAACGTATCACAACAATTATATCATCAGTAAAAGTGCTGTTTGTGTGTGAAAAATGCAAAAAAGTAACTTTCACTGACAATATCATCGCTGTGATATGTTTTACTGTTGTGAATCACTAATATTTGTGTTCAGCGAAGTCTCCCGAGTAAAACAGTACCCCCCATGTACAGGTTTTAGGGTGTCGTAGAACGTTACAGGGTAAAATACAGTGCTAGCAAATTAAATTCTCTGGAATTTCGGCCTGGGTTGGCAGGCAGGTCCCTCAAATTGCAATCAATAAAATTACTGAATTATGTAAAAATATTACATAAATACGCACGTAGAATTTAAATATATATGCATATTTATATATTTGAAGTCTACGTGTATATTTATATAATTATTTATGTAATTTTGTATATGGACATATGTATATTTCTTATTATTTTTATTTATTTTTATATACATAGATATATATACAAATTCATTCTAAGTGTATTTTGATATAAATATATATATATTAATTTTAAAATACAGTTAGAATAAAATTTCATATAGATATATAATTTTTTTAAATTTTTTTATTATTTTAAAAATTTTTTTATTTAATTTAAATTACTTATTATTTATATTTTATAATAATATATATATACAATATATATAGTTATTATATATATTATATATATACGTGTGTAATTTAATTATAAGTGTATTTTTATATTAATATAAGTACATATTAATATAAAAATACACTTAGTATGGCATTATATATATGATATATAGACATATATTATATAGATATAATATATGTCTATATATCATATATACACATATATAATTATTATTATTTTTTTAATTAACATTAACTTTATTTTTTTTTTGATTTTACACTAGCAGGGAGACTGCCTGTCAGCACAGACAGTCCCCCTGCAGGCAGACACATGGACACCTATTGTGACCATGTGATCGCTGTGTTAAGCGATCACATGGCCACAGGGGTCCTAATTCAGTGTGGGGAGACTGTCTGGGCTGCAGGCAGTCTCCCCACAACCGGAGCCACGCTGATCGCCGCCGGGGGAACGACGGCGATCAGGTAAGTAACGGAAACCGTTAGGACGGTTCAGGACCGTCATCGGTCTGCAAGGCAAAAATGCCGATGACGGTCCTGAACCGTCCTCGGTCGGGAAGGGGTTAAACTGCGATTCCAGCTTACACTCCAAAACTGTGTTGTCCTGTTATTGGAGGGCAAGAAGATTTACTCCTATGTCTGCTGTTCCAGCTTGCAGAGGATTCAACGGGGAAAGTCCTTGTAAGGACTAGAGCTAATTCCCCATTCGGTTCCAGAGCTCCCAGGACTGAGTGTCGTCCAGTGCCTGGGGGTGTCAGAGCTAATTCCCCATTCGGTTCCAGGAAAGAGGTGGCGGTTCGAGGACCCGAGTCAAGCCAAGGCGACTGAGGGCAGAAGTGCGGCGGTTTGTCCCCTGTTCCAGTTAGGAAGTGGTCCTTGGCGGAGGTACCCAACCCGGGATACAGGGAGCTCCGTTACAAATGTGACAGACCCTCCGTCAATTGATGCTCCTAGTGCTTACCAAGGACCATCAGCACCGCACCAGACACATAAGCACTGCAGATCCCACGAACCCACCGCAGCTTGGTTGGGGTCTCGCCGTCTCCTACCCACCTTGGACCTATGACAAAGCTCCAGTAAGAGCTTCAGAGAGCGAAGCAGGGACAGCTCTTAGAAGATCTAGTAATTAGAATCCAGTTGTGATATAGCAGTTCCTTACAACACGAGACGAGGCTGCGAGTTGAGGTTAAGAAGGTCTGACGGTTTATTGATCAGCTTGAGTTTTTATACAGTTTTTCTTACAGAGTCTTACATGCAGATACTCCCATGCAGTGTATACAATCCCTACCCTCTGCCTGGGATACAATAAACAAAGACAATGGGCTAACTCAATTAACTCAAAGCAGAAAAACATAAACTTTTACAAAGTCTGGAAAACACCCCACAAATCTTCTGACACATCCCTTGATAGCCCTGATCTGGGTGAACAACATATCCAAAAATCACCCAGATCAAAGCAGAGGTTCAAAAGTTTTATGGAAGTCATATTTTTGCCCAGATGTACACAGGATTTGATGCCCGAAACCGTTCCATAGAATCGCGGCTAAGTGCCACTGGAGGACCGACCGGGAACCACAAGGTTTTCATGCCGAAAATAGTTCCAGGGCATTCGCGGCTAAGTTCCCCTGAAGTCTATTCGCGGTTTTAGCCCATGCGAACAAGATGGCCGCCATCACATGGTCGAATCACATGGTCAAATGGCGGTCTCTTAGATTGTTTGGGAGTTCGAAGAACCAAATGTTTAAAGTCCCAATAGGCACAATTAGGGTCTCTCAGCCAAAATAAATTAAAGGGGCCATAGTCACGGGGCAAGATGCTGGCCATTAGTCCTCTCCCAAAAACCAGTGGCGCAGTTGCTTTCGTCACAGAAGTAATATAACTTGTCTCTCGTTATTCATGTATACTCGTGCCTACAGCTAGACTACTACTAAGTCAGAAAGGGTTTAGTGTATATACTTTGAAACCTTATGATATGGTTCTTTGTTTTGAGGGGAGAAATATCCATTGCACCCAATTGGTCGGCTACGTGCCATTCCGTGCTGTGACCATGCTGCATCTTTGGAGTTTGGGATAAGTGGAGTGTGCGTATGCTTAGCGGTTCTGGGGCCCCGTAGTTATATCCAACCAAGTGTTGTGTCTCCGTAGGCGTGTCCGTGTCTACTGATCAGGTGTAGGGGTCTTACTATGCTCTTGTGATGTAATGAGAATGTGGTCTAAGGCTAAACACTATTTGTGGGGCATGTGTTGTTCTAGAGGCCCCTGGGTGCCCTTTCATTTATGGTCCCTCTTTTCTATGTACTTCTTATTTGTTCCATTGTGCTTTTGTCTCTGCCTATTTTGGGAACTGGATATATATTTGATTCTTTAAGGCTATGGGTGTTTGGTGAGGAATGGGAAGAGGTATGGGTCTGGAGTTGTAGTGCTCTGGAGGAGAGAGTGGCGACTTCTCTCCATAGTTGGAATATGTGGGAACACTCCCACTACATATGGATATATATGCCCCACTCTCCGCAACCCTTTCAGCAGTGGTCCGAATCTGATCGTTGCATTTGTTTGAGTCTCAGGGGGATAAGATACCAATGCAGCAAAGTCTTATATGCCTGCTCTTTATGATTGGCACATATAGTGATCGATGCAGTGGCCTCCCAAATGTCCGCCCAGTACAATGGGTCCCCCGGGGGGCCCAGCTCTCTCTCCCAGGCAGCCACATATGAGAACGCTTCCAAGGGGGCGTTTTTTGTCAGATTGTTGTATAGAATGGAGATTTGGCCTTTTGTATGGGAGTTTGTAGGCACATTTTCTCGAATCTAGTGAGCGTTGCCGTTGCAACGTTTGGGGTGGTTAAGAAGCTGCGGATCTGGAGATATCGGAAGTGATCAAAAGTGTTGAAGGGAGTGTTTTGTGGTAGATCAGAGAAAGGGAATAGTTGGTGGTTACGAAAAAAATAGAAGGCCATTATCTTCGAAGTGGGCGTAGTATTGGGGTGTCATACCCGGAGCAAATTGTTCGTTCCTCAGTATTGGGGTTAGGGGTGAGGGTGTATTAATGATCTTGTGTTTGCGTGTCGTCCTGTCCCATATTTGTATAGATGTCGCCAGGGCTGGTGTGGTTGGGGGGACCCTGGGTCTGTCCTGTCTCGGTACCCATTGGTACAAAGAGGGGAAATCCCTGCCAAAGAGGTCATGTTCCAAATCCACCCATAACTTGATCCCTGCTGGGGCATGAAGGTTTTGTATTTGCGCTAGTTGGGCTTCTTGGTGATAGGACTAGAAGTTTGGTAGGCCGAGGCCTCCTTTTTTATGTAGGATGTATAGTGTGATTTGTTTTATCCTGGCTCTCTTTCCTGCCCAGATAAATTTTCTATCTGCATTTGGAGGGATTTAAAGTCGGTTTTGGATATTGTGAGGGTTTGAAACAAGTATAGGAACCGGGAAAGCAGGTTCATTTTCACTGAGGCCAGTATGCCTAGCCAGGAGAAAGACAATTTTTACCAGGACAGCAAGTCTTTATTAGCCAGTTCCAGCAGCGAGAGGTAGTTCAATCGGTACGTGGATTGTAGGTCTCCTGGTATGTATATACCTAGGTAGTGGATGCATTTTTCCTGGAAGCAAAATGGTTATGTCTTTTACAGCGTCAAGCGTAACTGGGGTGAATTTAGATTGGCATTGCTTCTGTCGTATTTAGGTTCAGCTTACAGTCCAATATTTTGGCATAGTCGTCTAAGAGGTCTAGGGGAGGGGGTAGGGAGGTTATGGGTTTGGTCAGGGTCAGTAGTAGGTCATCCGCATATGTCGCTATTTTGTATTCTTCCCGTCTTATTTTAATACTTTTTGGTACAGGGGTCGTTTTGCAAAAGAAGCTCCAGGGATAGGGCAAAGAAGGGGGAGACGGGGCAGCCCTTGTGATTGTATATGCGCAATGAGGTAGGGTGGGCGTTTGGTATAGGAAGGCGTGCGGATGGACTGGAGTATAGGCTACGTATTGCCTCCAGGAATTATCCAGGGAAGCCGTATTTTGTTAGCGTTGCAAATAGATATGGCCATAGTATGCGATCGACACTTTTTCCGCATCAAGTGATAGTAGCAGTGTGGGGATATCTCTGTGAGTGGCTGCCCAGATCAGGTCATACGTCTGTCTTGTGTTATCACAGGCTTGTCTGTGGAGGATGAATCTTACCTGATCTGGGTGGACCAGTTGTAGTTGGACTGCACTGTAAGGGCAGCCCTGGCATACAATCACTCAATTACTTCCAGTGCAGCTGGTATGGCTGTACCAGTGCCCACACACTAAGGCGGCCCATAGGGTTGCCTGATGGGCGTGTCATAAGGCTGTGCACTTTGCTCATTAACAGCGTGATTGGACCCCTGTAATATTACAGCACTTGGAGAAAGTGAGAAGCCTTATCCCAAATAACAGAGCCACGTGGAAGAGACTCAGAGGAGTGGGCATTACCAGAGAGAGTCTGCCTCTAACACCCAACAACCTCAGCCACCAGACTGAACCTTAGTCTTTCAAAACTGTAGGAAACTATCATGTGTGTATCTGTGTGTCATCGTTTCTGTGTATTTGCAGGTGTGTATTTCTGTGTATACGTGTCATTGTGTGTGTGTATCTGTAGGTGTGTCAGTGTGTTTATGTGTATCTGCATGTGTGACATGACATCTGAGGCAGCAAGCCCCAGAGGATGAGGGGTTTCACCGCCTGAGCCGTTCTTTTTACCATGTTAGAGTGATGCTTTCTGATTTCCCAGGATAGCATAACTCTTACAAGAGCTGGTGATAATAGCAGGTATTGCTGGTCCCTACAATCTTGAGATGAGGGTAAGCAAGAATCGATTTATTGGTAGCCACATTGGCCTTTTAGGCAATTCCCCATGCAAGGGACACTCCCACATGGACCTTGTGGGGAACTACAATATAAAGTAACAAACCAATGATAATGATGTTCAAATGCATGACTCTCCCATATACAATCATACAACCCCTCTCTTCTGCCTGAGAGATAATTGAGACAGATACTCTACTAACTCAATTATCTCTAGGTGAAAAAGAACACACGTTACAGGTAACCCTAAAGTACCCCAAAACTCATATAATCCCCACATAAGTTATATCCCCTGATAGCCCCGATCTGGGGGAGCAACATTTTTAAAAATCACCCAGATCAGTTCAGGGGTTTAGGATTTTTATGGAAGTTTTGTTTATGACAGATCGCACAGGAGACTCCTTCCCAAAATAGTTCCAGATATTCAGGCTGTGCGGTTGGTCTCTTTCGGGAACTCCAAACACAATGAAATACCGAAAGGAACCATTTGTGAGAAGGCTAGTTGTGTACCCCTCCTTCGTGAGTTTGGTTTCACCGAAGGCCGATTTCTACAGATGCATGGGAATGAATATAAGTGGGGGTGGAAGTCTCAGTGGTGTTCGGGCCTTCGAGTGTCCGATAATAGTTCCATGCACTCGATGACCAAACCCTGCTGGAAGCGTTCGCCACAGCAAGATGGCCGCCACCTCGTGTTCGTGCATATGAATGGAGGCCATCCAGCCGACCACTTAGAATGTTCAGGGATTGCGGTTAGAGTAGGTGTTAGGAAGGTCAAGGTCGTTAACTAGCAGCACACGACGGTCCTGGGTGGTCGGTCTGTTCAACAGTTTGTTCGGTATTCAAACTGGGTAGATTTTAAATATTTGGTTAGTTCATATACCGAATGATTCAAGGCAGTAGAATTAAAAATAAACAGAAGAAATTTACAGGGTGCAATCCATGGAGAAGGCATCCATCACAACATCTATGACCTCTAGAGCTCTTTTAGTATGATGTTCACTCTTATGACATAAACTATACAGAGGCCCCTAGAATCGAGCTGGTACCTTAACTTTTAGCCTTTATCACCTTGGAACAGGAAATAGATTCTCAATAGTATTGTGTGAGACCCTCTTGAGTAGGACACAGTTTCCAGAACAAGGTTATAACTTGGTTCAAAGTGTTGTGCCAGTTACTGACTGCTCTGTGACTTCATACAACAATGTGCCTGTGAAGTAATTTGTATTAGTTTAGCAACCAAGAAGGCACAAATTTATTTATTTTTTTGCTCTGGAAACAGATTTTAAATATGTGAGAGTGTACACATTTTTTGTTAATGGAGGTTGTTTATGCTGCAGGTGGATTCTTGGGGTGGGTGGCGAGTACATGTTTACTTATTTAATTGTTCTTTGAGCCAGGGGCGGACTGACTGCTCTGGTACTTGGAACATGGTCAGAACACTTCATTTCCGCCATTATCTGACAGAATACCAGCCACTTGAGTCCGACACGCGATGTTCACACAGTCCTTGGGCCCGGCGCTAATTACCCAGGAGGGTAGCGTATGAGGATTCTGGCTGGGCCTGGATTTACTTTAATGCAAAGAGTGCATTGAAGGATTCACTCTGTTTGCCTTAAAGTTACATACATTGAGAAGAGCCGTGCACATTATTTGGCCATCATTGGAGCTGTCAGACAGCCATAGTTATAATTGTTATAATTGATGCAAGCAGTGTCGGTGTTCCCGCAGTGAGTTTGTTTGGGCTTCTGGGTTAATTTAAGAAGAACAGCTGAAAGTAAATAATAAAAGTACTAAACTTAAGACTTGATAAAATTGGTACTACTTTGTGATCAAAGCCAAAGCCCTCCTTTGGAAACTTTGCGGAACCATATAAAAACCACTCCGAGGAATTATATTGTGACCTCATCCTTGTCCTGAAGAATGTAAATAGTTCCTCTGATTTTAGAAATTCTGTTCGTCGTGAGGCACCAGGGCTGCCATCAGAAATTTTGGGGCCCCTGACACAGCTCAAGGTCTGGGCCCCCCGGTGCCTACACCCGAGTCCACCCAAAGTGCTGCCCCCCCCACCCCCGACTCTGCCCACAGGGATGCAGTGTCTGTACTGATTCTGGAGTGTGTATAGTGGATGCAGAGTTTGTGTGTTAAGTGGATGCGGTGTGTGTCTAACAGATGCAGTGTGTATAGTGGATGCAGATTGTATATTTGTGTAATGTATGAGGTGTATATTAGATGCAGAGTGTGTGTTTGTGTAGTGGATGTAGTGTGTGTTTATAGTGAATGCAGAGTGTGTATGTGTGTTGATGTAGTGTTTGTGTGTATTAAATGCGATGTGTATAGTGAATGCAGAGTGTGTGTTTGTGTAGTGGATGTAGTGTTTAGTGAATACAGTGTGTGTCTTTGTGTAGTCAATGTAGTGTGTGTGTATAGTGACTACATAGTGTGTGTTTGTGTAAGTATTTAATGTGTGTATAGTGACTGCAGACTGTGTTTGTGTAGTGGATGTAGTGTGTGTAGTGACTACAATGTGTGTTTGTGTAGGTACTGCAGAGTGTGTGTTTGTGTTAGGAAGTGTGTGTAGTGACTGCAGAGTGTGTGTTTGTGTAAGGATGTAGTGTGTGTAGTGACTGCAGAGTATGTTTGTGTAAGGATGTAGTGTGTGTGTACATTTTAGTGAATATTGTGTGTATAGTTTGTATAAATGTTAAGTGTATAGTGTAAATGTATGGGGCTGAAAAATGTGGGGGGGAAAGCCTACAGTTTTTTTTAGATATACTGCCAAGATGCTCTGCTCTGTCGAAGTCTCGCGAGCCATGCGGAGCGTTGCAATGGCAACGCTCTGACGATCGCGTTGCTCGCGAGACTTTGACAGAGCAGAGCATCTGTGCAGTATATTTCAAGTGTGCTGGGCCCCCTGCACAATACAGGTAGCGGGGGGACCACAGTGCACACATATATAGCATTAATCGCTATATATGCGTGCACATAGCTAATGTGGGCAGTGACGTACACACAACCCATAGGGCCCCGGTGTGAAAACTGATCCGTGGGCCCACCCCGCGCAGAGTAAGCACGCTGGGGCCGCAACACATGGCGGCGGGCACCTGGTCGCAGGGCTGCGACCCCTGCGACTGCGGTATGTACGCCAGTGCATGCAGATACACTTAAAGGACCACCACAACAGACACCCAGATCACATCAGCTAAATGAAGTGGTCTGGGTGCCAGATCCCTCTAGTTTTAACCCTGCAGGTGAAAACATAGCAGTTTCAGAGAAACTCTCATTGACAGCCACTAGAGGAGCTTCCGCGATTCTCACTGTGAAAATCACAGTGAGAAGACGCTGAACGTCCATAGGAAAGCATTGAGTAATGCTTTCCTATGGGTGGTTTGAATGCGCGCAGCTCTTGCAACGCATGCGCATTCGTAGCTGAGAGGCGGATCAGGGCGGAGAGATCCCCAGCGCCAAGGGAGTCCGGCGCTGGAGAAAGGTAAGTGCTTAAGACACGCACACACACTCTCACGAACAGACGCATACACACTAGCTAACAGACACACACATTTACTGACAGACACACACTCAGTGACACACTCTAACACACACACTAACATACCCACACACAAACAGACTAACACACACACACATTTTTATTTCAGCCCCACAGCCTCCCTACCTTTGGGAGTGCTGAGGGTATTCCCTGGGGTCCATTGGTGTCACCCGGCGGCCGGTCCTGCTGGCGGGCGCGTGAGAGAGCAGTCTCCCTGGCTGAGTGCTTCCTGTTCAGCCCCCTCGTGCGCCGCGTACTGATGCCGGAGCCGGAAGATGACATCCTTTTCTGGCTCCGGCATCAGTGCAGTGCGTGAGGGAGCTGAAGAGGAAGCACTCAGGGGAGAGTGCTCCCTCGCTCGCCGGGTGACACCAGGGCCAGCCTCGGGGGGCCCTGAGCTGACCGGCTGCCGGGCCCCCCCAGGATAAGAGGCTGGCCACACTGGGTACATACCGGGTCGCAGGGCGGCCGGGCCCCCTGCGACCCCAGTATGTACGCCACTGAATGTGGGGCCCAGGACGAACCGAGCAGTCCGGGCCCCCCAGGACCGCTTGGCCCATGACAACCGTTATGGTTGTCATGCCCTGATGGCGGCCCTGTGAGGCACTAATATTAAATTAAAAGTTAGGTTCATTTGAGACTATCCTGGCAGCTTTTACATTTCTAAGAATATTTGACATTACTACTCCAGTGTCAGATTGCTTAGCAGTCCCTTATGCAGGTGTGGCGAGTGATTCAGGATGCTACAAACCATTTAGCAAATATTTCAAGAGACTTTTAGGAGTCTATGAATCTGCAATTGGTTTCATTTATCAGAAGTGGGAGGCGTAGCATCTGGAGGCGTAGTATCTTGAAGTATGTATATATAACTTTTTAGGAACTTAAGTACAGCTCCAACTTGTATGCTTGAGCGGAATGATCTTGCTTAAGGATATAGTGGAGTACAAACACTGCAGGAAATTCTTGTAGTAATAGCTTTTCTTGCGGATATGTGGGAAAAATCAGAGGTACATAGTGCAGTATGCTAGACTTTCTTCCACATATCTGCATTACTACAATAATTTCTTACAGAGCTTGTGAGAGAGACCCCGGATTTGGTGGTTAAGCTGCCCTCTGGACTGAAACAAGTACTGGATAAGCGCTGAATCCCTTCCTGCTTTTTTACCACCTGAATGAAAAACTAGTTGTCGAAAACATTGCAATCAGTAAATCTTTCACTGAACTTAGCTCAACAAGATGTATAGATCCTGCAGACCAGCAAAACTACGTTGACGTTTCATGCTACGCTGCCATCTGTGAAAGTTTGGGAAAGTATGAAAACCAGGTTTGCCACTGATGGCAAACTTTACATGCTGATTGCATGTTTTGACCCAAACCATTTTGAGGAAATATTGGCTTCTCTTGAAATAAATACAGCTGTATGTCATTTCTGCAGCTGTTTCTAAAATCGATGGTCTAGTACTTCATGAAGAATTGCTTTCATTCGCATCTAGCTTCAATAATCTCTCCAAAGGGCTGTTTGACAATGATGACGCAACATTGAGCTCTGCTACAGAGGAAGAACCTGACTTCTGTGATTCTGAGACATCAGCTTGTAAACCTTCTGTGGAAAAAAATCTGATGTAAAAATTGTACATCTTGGATTAGAACAAAGGCAGGACAGAGGTGGGGCCATGGGTGAGGTCTGGCATGGGGCTCTGAGGGTCGTCAAGCTTCCCCAACTTTGAGCACTATTCGCTCATTCTGATGGTTTGTAAAAAATGGAAACATTTATCAAATAAAGCTAGGCATTTATCCTGAAGTAAAGAAAACCCAAGAGTGTAGTGAGACTGATCTTAATGACTACAAAATTATTAAAAACAGGAAGAAATAAAAAAATGATCATACTCTGCATAAACCTACCACAATGTAACTATACCCCATTGTAGGTCTTGTTCTGACAATCCAATGCATGCTTATATTAATAACCCAATTTACATGGGATATCCAATTACCAAAGGTCTCTCTGCGGTGTTTAAATGGACACTATAGCTTATTGAATTTGTTCTGATGTGTAGAATCATTACCTTCAGGCCTTCTGCTGTAAGCACTGTCTTTTCAGAGAAAATGCAGTGTTTACATTACTGCCTAGTGATAACTTCACTGGCCACTCCTCAGATGGCTGCCTAAAATACATCCAAACATTGTGTCTCCACCCTCTGCATGCAGACACTGAACTTTCCTCCTAGAGATTCGTTGATTCAGTTCATCTCTATGAGCAGATGCTGATTAGCCAGGGATGTGTTTGAATCACGCTGGCTCTGCCCCTGATCTGCCTCTTTGTCAGTCCCAGCCAATCATATGGAGAAGCACTTTGATTGGATCAGGCCACCACCTCTAATGATGTCAGCAGACTGCTTGTTTTTCTGAGGCAAACAGCATGCAGAGCTACAGCTTCAGGCTTGAATACAGTAAGATGTTGCTATATTTATGGAGGCATGAGGGGCCCAGGGGGACTAGATGGTGGTGTTAACACTATAGGGTCAGGAATACATGTTTGTGTTCCTGACCCTATAGTGATCCTTTAAATATAGCTCTTTAAACTGGCACCTGGGGCAGGAAGGGGTGCAATACAGATTATATAGTATCCAGTAATAGGTTGCATCCAGAGGGCTTCCAAACAAGCAGTGTATTTATTCACAACATAAAATTACATCTGTCCCAATCAATGTTTCGCCCCTTTCAGCTCTTTCTCAAGATTAATAGTGATACAGTCATAACCATAATATATAGCAAAAAAACAAACAAACTGACTTACCAATCATTCCATGCTAGCCTCTGCCTGATGCAAACCTGGAAGTGTACACGGGGGACTCTACACATACACCTTGCATCCACTATTTACACACACTGCATCCACCTTACTTATCCTTGTGGACCGACTATGGGCAGACTCAGGAGCAAGCCCCAGGGGCCCAGGCCTTGAATTGTGCAGCCCTGTTTAGATCATATGATTAAACTGTATTTTCTCCCTACTAGATTCTCCCTTTAAACTTTTAAATACCACAGAACAGACATACATAACACCTCAACAGAAAAAAAAGGAAATATGCAATTTAAAAAGATATTTTACCTTTTACATAAATATGGTTACTTTTTAAATAAGGAATTAGAAATTGCAGACCAAAAATAGCCAATGTGGAAAAACAACCAAGTTAAGACATTTTTCTTTGGCTACTAATTTGGCTCTCTTGGCTGAAAGTTCACAATTCTAACTTTATTGAATAACATTGTAAGTGTCTCTGAGCTCGCGATAAACTTAATAATTACAATTAAAATTAACTGGTTCTTTGGACCTCTTCACATGGCCAGTAAAAAAAACAAAACACAAAACATATTTTGTAATAAATAGACTTCTGACATGTCATTATTTAATCATCCTTTTATCAAATTGATGCAATGAGTTTTTCATCAATTTTAAGAACTTTTTTTTTTTCTTCGGAATATAAAAATTATAAAACCATTTAATATAGAAATCATTCAAATTTGAACAACCCCCTGTACTACTTGCTCACAGTGGTTTCTGTACTGTTTGACAAGTAATGCCTTCTTACCTGTTTGTTGGCTCAATTTTGGGTAATTTAAGTGAGTAATGGTTGCTGTATAATATGTACACTATAATTCGGAGCCAACAACTCCTTTGGAGACCATTTAAACTGTTGATCAGTGCATTTTAAGATGACATATATTGTCTTAGCTGTTTTATATTGTTTTGCCAGTCTGCATGTTTATATGAATATCTTTTTCAAGACACTTGTGGTGAATGACTGACCCAGTTATTCTTCACATTAACATTTTTGTTGACATAACTTGAATTTCATGTACGGGGAGAAAGGACGAAATGTTTTCTATTTTGTGATAAAAACATGATGCCTCTCATCACGGTCCCTTCGGTTAAGTAGTTCAAAACTCGAGTGTAACAATAAGTTCTGAGAGTTTATTGAGGTCATTCAGGTATGGTTCCCGGTGGAGGACAAAATCCACCTTTGCATGTTGCGAAGGAAAAATTTGCAGCAGTTCATGCCTGAGCCTTTCTTTTTCTTTTCTGGGACGGATATCAGTCTCTTTTTCCACTCGATGCCCATGAGGGGGTTTTCGATCCCTATAGTTAAGGACTTCAGTCTGAGATGATTTTTTGGGTGGGCTGCGAGATATCCTTCGACCAGCAAATGAATGACCTTTAGATTTACCTCTAAATTAATTAAGATTAAGTTAAAAAGACTCATATTTACACACATAGATGTCACAGATTATTGCTGAAAGTTAAAATATAATACTTACTTTTGTCGAGTAGTTTTACAGAGGAACGTGTCCAAGGGTGGTCCACTTCGTCCTAAGGGGTCATCTGGCACCATAAATATATCTCCCACAAATGTGTACTGCAGTAGTCTGTAATGTTCAATGATATCCATTGTTACAAAAAATAAAAACAAAATAATAATTATTATTTTATTTTTTTAAATCGTATTTTACACCTGAGAGAACAGAAACAGGAAGAAAATAGACATAAGAGTATCATCACCTGTCCTTGATGATATTTTTCCAGGCATCGGATTCAGCATAAATGTCTCGTAAATTATCATTTGTGACAATCACACCATCTGTTTTCTCCGCTAACTTCACCATGAACCTGTAGGGAATGGGTTGATCAATGCTACATTAATAATCTAAAAATAAAGCATTGTACATTACCAGATACAACTCTTAGCAGGGTTAAACAGGCAGGGATATGGCACCTACATCACTGCATTGAGATAAAGTGGTATGGTTGCGTATAGTGTCCCATTAATTCTGCATTCCCCAACATCTAGAATTACATAAGTGAATTATTTGATGTCACCGTAAGAAGGTAGGATAAGATTCAAAATAAAAACTAAATAATAATTTGTACCTTTGCTAGCAATTTGTCCTGCACAATGTAGAGTAAATAGATAATTGTTCAAAGTCATTTCGTGCCATGCTGCTTAACATGTAATGTTTAGCAAACTGCAATTTTTCTGTTGGAGACTGTCAGGTTTACCCACTAGGAATATCATTCGAGAAATATCTGGGAAATTCAGAGAGAAGGTCCACTTAATTATCCACTACAATCTACCAAATTAACCTAGGTAAACTGTGAATCAGAGGCCTTCTAAATAAAAGGTCTACACCATCATGCAGTTGCAGCCTAGGCAGTCATGCAATAAAAGTACCAGCAGGGATTAAATCTCTGCTGGTACCAAGGAACCCCAGGTATTTTTTTATATCAGCTCGGGTCATTTTTAGTGTCCCCAGACTGACAGGTGACCTGCAGGCAGAGCTCAAAGTGAGATCATTTTGCAGCTCTTTCAATGGGGTAATTTTAATCCCTGCTCACACTAGGATCCCAGGTATCAATAGATACCTGGGTGTCCCCTCTGTCAGCTGAGGCTAATTTTAGTCGCCACTGACTGACAAGTGAGCTGCAAGCAGTGCTAAAAATCAGCACTGCATATAGACCTTTACATCAATAGAGAACTCTGCAGCTGACCAGTTAAGCTCAGCCACAGTAATTATCTCTATAAGATCTTAATTGCAACCAATTCCTCTGAGTTACTTCACGGTTTCTCTCATCCTCAGACTCTGCCCTTCGTTAATGGCGCTTATCCTCTGTATCTCAAAAGGGAACCACACCTTAGGTAAGATGCTTAGACAATTTCGTTCTTACCTACAGATCGTGGCTGACTAAGCTACTATATTCTTGATTACTGTGTAACGAACCGGATTGATTACTGACCTCACCTCACTGCTCTCTACATGCCTGACCTGGACTCCTCTACTTACGTCTCTACTCCGTCCAACAATTTGTCTTGGAATTTCTAACTGACCACGCTGATCTCTCTACTCCATTGACTCGGACTACCTTTCTCAAGTGCCTGGACTTCGCTAAGCATTCCAAGTAATTATATTAATAAAGGACCATTATAGGCACCCAGACCACTTCAGCTTAATGAAGTGGTCTGGATGCCAGGTCCCTCTAGGATTAACCCTGCCTGCTGGAAACATAGCAGTTTCAGAGAAACTGCTATATTTACAAATGGGTTAATCCAGACTCTAGTGGCTGTCTCATTGACAGCCGCTAGAGGCGCTTCCGCGCTTCTCACTGTGATTTTCACGGTGAGAAGAGGCCAGCGTCCATAGGAAAGCATTGAGAATGCTTTCCTATGGACTGGCTGAATGCGTGGGCGGCTCTTGCCACGCATGCGCATTCAGCCAATGACGACCGAAGGAGGAGGAGAATCCCCAGCGCCAAGGGAGGCCGGCGCTGGAGAAAGGTGAGTGTTACCCCCTTCAGCCCAGCGGGAGTTTGTTTTCTTGGCACTATAGTGGTCCTTTAATACAAGCTACATTTAATCAACCCTGCAGCTCTGTTATATTGATTCAATTCCCCTTCCGCTTGCTGCTTGTTACGACTATTCCTTGTATCCAATTGCTTATACCAGGGGTAGGCAACCTACGGCACTAGTGCCATGCACGGCACTCAAGGTGTTTTTGCACGGCACTCAAGGATGCTAGAGCCAAACAGGCTCTGGCCTATCAGGAGTCCCAGTGAAACTTCAGATATCTGCTAATACCAAAAGGTGGTGAAGGACAATTCTCAATTTATGCATTGCAACACACAGAGTGAGTGATCTCAGATCACTTCCTCCCAGCACGTGTGAATGGGAATCGACACTGAAGTAGAGCAGCCTGCAGCTGCTGTTGCCGCTCTTGTCCTTGACCTGTACCTGGCCAGCCTGGTCCCCACAGGAACCCAGGGAAGCCAACCACACTGCTAGATATACACAGAAATGCACAATAACCCTCCCCTCATACAAATAATACGAACAGCCCACAAACAAACATACAAGCAATATGCAAAAACGTAACCTGCTAACAATCCACATACACGTACACAACCCCACATACAGCCTCTCACATGCAATACCCCAAACAGCCCCCACACATACACACAATTTGACATATCCATCCACACACACACACACAATTCCACAAGCAGCCCCCATACACAGCCCACATTCCTAGGTATCATACACGATACCACAAACTACTCCTGAACATATACAATATAATAGCTCATTTACGCACAAATACAACAATACAAAGCAATTACAGTATAAATAACACAAGCAGAATACGGCAGCATACACACCTCAATTTAAAAAAAATAAGACCGGCACGCTACGGGACATCACAATCCTATATCGGCACAGTGCTGCTAAAAGGTTGCCTACCCCTGGCTTATACCATACATTTGCAGACGTTGCTACTTGTGTCAATTCAGTAGTTATTAATTACTGCTCCAACTAATTTTGGAAACCCTCTACTAAACATTGCATTTCTGCAAATTAATTATTTCACTCCAATTGCCCTCCTGACGATTAATTTTGGACATTATTATTTGTCTTATTATAAGTAAACAAGAAAACTCAACTCTCCAAGAATTGCTAGCAAATTATTTATTTTAAAGATATACTCTCTGGATCTGGTGATTGTGAATTAAGGTTAGGCATAGATTTAGGGTATGGTTTAGGATTAAGGTTAGTTTTATTATTAGATTTAGGATTGGGGTTTGGTTTAGGATTTAGACTGGGATTAAGATGAAGATTGTTTCTTTGCAAAGGTATACATATGAGGTATTGTTTTACTCATATTTACAAGTATATTTAAGATGATTTAATTTCAATGGGATACAAAAGATTTAAAAAAAAAGCATAGAAATACAACATTTAATTAAAAGTAAAAAGTGTCACTAAAAGAAAAAAAAAACTGCAATAGGTAGGTTATACATTCACCTCTATTTTCAAAGACATTGGGGTTATGGACTTGTTAAGAAGACTTTGCTGAGCATAATTAGGGGGCGTTTGATCATAGTGGCACATACTGGATTTCAGGGGGCAGAGCTTGACAGCCATTCTGGAAGGTTGCAAATCAGATGGGATCCTCTGAACTTTTTAAAGTGTTATGGGAAAACACAGTTTTTGTTAAACGCCACTCATGCCAATCTGCAGAGAGATTGTCTGGGGCATAGGCTGACTCATCTTTGCTCGGGGGCTCAAGTTTGTTTGTTTTGCATGTCTGTGCATGGTGCCTCGGTTTTTCAGCTTTATGTTCTATCTTTGAGAAGTGTGGCCTCCAAGTGGATAATCATCAGTATTACTCTTACCCTGTTTACCTTTAATGCCACCACTTGTGAATCTTCCCAGTGTATATGTTATTAGTCAGATTCTTTTTTTCTTTTTATTCTTTTTTTTTTTACCTCTCCTTCTTACTAATGCAGTAAACTCACGTGTACCTATGACTAGCTCAGTGCGATCTCGGTGGTTCCTAGTAAGCTAATATGATCTACTGTATGACTGTCTTCCTTATCAACAAAAAACGTGCAGATGCTCTGTTTTCAGTATCTTGTGTTGATGTGTATTGCCTTGATCTGAATATATATGCATGTACTATTTTTCTTAATATTTAAAAATAAGCTGTCTCTATCAGACAGAATTATAGGTGACATGTAATGGCTATCACCCCTGCCTATTATGCTGAAATATCATGATACTACTTTCTTTTTAGTCTGTGTCTTGCTATCTTCTTAGCACTGCTACCAGTTAAATGACTATTTCCTGAATACTTTAAAGTGAGAAGTCTCTATCAATCAGAATTATATGTGATGTGATGTTATGCTGGTATATCCTGGAACCTCCTTTTTAAAAAAAATAAAAAATAAAAATGTTTTGCCTGTATCTAGCCATCTTTAACCCCTTAAGGACCAAACCTCTGGAATAAAAGGGAATCGTGACATGTCACACATGTCATGTGTCCTTAAGGGGTTAAAAAAAACAGATTTCTGAAATTAAATTGAAATGAGCATATAAAAAAATGCAAAAAAACCCATAAACTGGTGAAAAAATGTCAGCACGCTAAGGCACAATAAACACAATATGAGATACCCTTGAGTGTCTACTTTCCCAAATAGCAGGCCTTTGTGGGGGTAATTTCAACATTAAAACTGGTATAATGGCCCAGAATGAAACATTTTGGCCAATCAAACAAATCTATAAAAATTCTATTATAAGGTGCTGTAGCTTCACAGGATAGTGTCAGGCATCCATTTGGAGTATCGTTGTAATCAAAAGTTGTAGCTGAACACAATATCCTTGTTATTTGTGTATAAAAAAAAACCACATAATTTGACTACAATATTTAGCAGAGATTGACAGTTAAATGGCTACATAATAATGTGGAAAAAAACAAACGGTAAATAGCTTGTGATGTCTACTTAATATATTTCTATACTTCTTTGTGGCAAGTTTGTTTTCTGTGATGGCTATAAAACTTATAAGACAAATATAAAATCCTAAAATCATTCCACAATAAAATTTTATTTTACTCCTTCTATTTGTGATCTGTAATTACCAAAAATAAACTGAAATCCTAGACATATTATGTACACTGTAAATCAGGACAAATAAATTATTTTATTTAGAATTACCTTTCTTCAGCTGCACTAATTATGCATATATTTCCCAAAATTGGATTTTTTAAAAACAAGTAAGAATTTATATATTTATATGTCACTTTAAAATTAAAGCCCTTTGAGTCTATTTAAAAACCAGTATATCATATGTGTTGGTGCAGTATATGAGAGATGGAAATTGCGGTTGAACACACACAGAGCAAAAATGCAAACATTGCTGTGGTCCTTAAAGGGACACTAAAGGCACCTAGAACACTTCAGCTCGTCGAAGTTCATTTTAATTAACTGCATTTTAGTTAACATGGGTTAACTCGACCTCTAGTGGCTAGCCAGTAGAGGGAAGTCCGGGTTGTTGGGCGAATTTTGGTCGCCTAACTGACACTGGATGTCTTCACGCTATGCATAAGGACATCCAGCATCACCCAATACCCCATAGGAAAGTATTGTATTTACATCAGACATATGCTTAATCCTAAAGGCACATTATAGCGTTAGGTTCTACAAACATTCAAACATGTATTCTGACTCCACTTATTTAGGCATCTGCAACCCCCCACCATCAGGGATTAAAATGTAAGTTTTATATCATGCGGTGGGGGTCTCCCTGCAGCCACCCCGCTTCCTTCTGCTGCATGATAGTGATCTATGCTGCATTTATGACTATCTAAGATAGTCTATGATGAGGGGTCACCACGTAGAGGGGCAAGATATTCTGCCCTTTCATAAGGGTCACATGTCCCACCTGCATTGTTGCCTTCGGGAGGGTAGCATTGTTTAATCTAAAAGGATAAAATTCCCCTTAATAGAAATATCAATTGCCCTTCCAGAAGAGGTGAATCTTGTCCTCTTAGGATGCAGGTCATGACCATTACAAACACTGATCATCTAGCTCACTGTTCATTAGGACAGTATTTTATGGATGGGGATGGTGGCTTTTAAAGAGTCCCTGACTCCCACTTATTTTGTCTTAGATGGGCATGAGACTCCTCATTTCAAAGAAGTTATATGACCCTCTAATCTACAGGTGAACACTATGGTAATGGTGATCACCTATCATAGTGACACATTTTATAATGAAATGTAGAGCCCCTATAACCCCTATAAAGAGGAGCATAATGTGTAGGCAAGCACTGTGATTATTGATGAAGGCTTTTGTAAGAGGTACTTCAGACCACATATTTAAAATAGCAGTTCCCATGGAGCAAAGGAAGAGTAGGAATATATGTGAGTTTGTCACCCTAGTGTTTCTTTAAAATTGAGTGTACAAATATAGTGCTAGCTCTCTTTCTCTGTCTATGCATGCATCAGCTTTCATTCAATATGCAAAACTGAGTAATGATTCTTACCTGTCATCATAAGAACAGATTTTTTTTCCCTCAATTTGTCTGGATGGAGTAAAAGAGAGAAGCCCAACCTCATTCAGCTCTGTTAAGAAATGCTGCTCTACATTAGGAAAAGAAAGGTAAAAGCCATATGTTTAACATCTTGGAAATTCTCGTTAAGGTGAAATGTACTATTTTTACAGTTTAATTTCTTGGCAGGAAATGTAACCCAAACATTATTTATTGCAACAGCTTCTGGTGATAACTAGTTTATTTGTTTTACTAGTTACATTCAGAATGTAATTTAAAACAAATCCTCTCTTTCCCATATCTTCTTCACACTACTATTAAAGCATTTGTCTTATCTATTTAGGACACTGTCTATCTCTTTGGGAACTGTTTTTTTTTTTGCTTTTTTGTTTTTTACAGAATTTGTCAAAGTGGTGTACTCTGTTAAAGGGATACTATAGTAATAAAATTTGTTTAGCTTTATGAAGCAGTTTGAATGTCTAGATCAGGGGTAGGCAACTTATGGCACATGTGCCGTGTATGGCACTCGAGGTGTCTTTGCACGACGGCTCTGGCCTATCAGGAATCCTTAGTGCAAACTGAGTGGTGAGGGGCAAGTATCAATTTTTGCATTGCACCACTTATTGGAAGTAATCTTGGATCACTTCATCCAAGAACTTGTGGATGGGAATCCACACTGGAGAAGAGCAGCCCACACAAGTTATTTCAGCTCCTGCCCTTGATCTATATTTGGCCAGCCCATTCCCCACTGGACCACAGGGAAGCCACCCATATTCCTAGATATACACAGAGCTGGAGAAGAAGCTGCACCCTCATACAAATAATACAAACAGCCCACACACAAACACCAAATCACCACAAGAACACTGAAAATCCACATACACACACAACTCCACAAGCAGACTGTCACATGCAATACCTCAAGCAGCCCCACACATACACACAATGTGACATATCATCCAGACACACAATTCCACAAGCAGCCCCCATATACAGCCCATATTCACTGGTATCATATCCAATTCCACAAACCACTCATGAACATATACTGTACGATCTAACAGCACACAGACACACACATACAACATTACAAAGCAACTGCAGCACCTATAAATAACACAAGCACAATACGGCACCCTATGCCCCTCACTTTAAAAAAAGAGGATCGGCACACCAAAAGACTTCAAACTCTTATTTTGGCACAGTACTACTAAAAGTTTTCCTACCCCTGGGCTAGATCATGCCCCTGCAGTCTGACTAATGAATTCACTTCCATTTAGGAGTTGTTACTTTTGTTTCTGTTTATGCAACCCTAGCCACAACTTCCTTGGCTGTACACAGCCTGCATGAAATTTTTTTTTAATTTTCAATCTTTAAAAGTTATCTCCTGCTCTGTAAATTGAACTTTAATTACGTGCAGGAGGCTCCAGCAAGGTCTCGCAAGCTATTAACAGAGCTGGAGATAAGAAATTATAAATTAAACAGAATTTGCAATAAAGGAAATGTAAACATTAGATCTCTCTGTACAGGAAGTGTTTAGGAAGGCTGTGTAAGTCCCATGCAGGGAGGTGTAACTAGTGCTGCATAAACAAACTGATTTAAATCATATAAGGAAGAGACTGAGATTGAGCAGTGAGATTGCAGGGGCATGATCTATATACCAAAACTGCTTCAAAGTTGTTTTGGTGACTATAGTTTACGTTTAACGTTCATTGTATTTATTTCTGAACTGATTTTATCATAATTCATTGTGCACATATGCAAGAGGTTTGATTTTTCAAAGGCTCCCGTCCCCCCAAATTTTCTAACACTTGTTTAAAATACTAAAAACAAAATAAGGATTGTCGAAATAAATTAAACAAAGTAACTCTTGATATAATGTTTACCCAAACTATGGTATAAATATATATATATATATTTTTTTGCTGAACCATTTGCTACAAAGGGATTTTAAAAAAATAAATAAAAAGACCACCAGAGTAATTTTATTATTGTTCCAGAAAGTAATGTACAATGTTTATTTTTCATGTCAGTAAGCATATTCACTATTAGTTTCACTTCCTGTCACAAAAATACAAGGCTTATCTTTTTGGAAGTTCTATGCAAATTGCTATTCTTCTCCCACTGCTTTTTAAGAAGGAAGTATATTTCTTCCTATTGGGTTATATTCATGTGTGCTTGGAGACAAACACAGTCAATATAATGAATATATGTCAGTTTGTGGTTACATAAAGAGGAACTGTCATTTGTTAAGGCAGTGCAAGTTTTGACAGTTTGCATTTTATCTTTTATTCATTCAGATTTTTATTGAATGCTGTATACAATGGTAGTAATTTATTTCTTCCAGCCCTCCTAAAGTCCTAATATTCACTAGCACAGCTCATATGAATGCATGCAGGAATCACAGGAAGAAGATTTTACTTGCAGCACTCACTATCCTGGATTATGCAGTAGTTTTGTTTTGTTTTTTGTTACTTTTTTAAAGAGACACTATAGTCACCAGAACAACTACAGTTTATTGTATTTGTTCTGGTGAGTTTATTCATTCCCTTCAGGCTTTTTTAATCATTCCCTTTAGGCTTTTTGAAGTAAACACTGTATTTTCAGAGAAAATGAAGTGTTTACATTACAGCCTAGTGATAACTTTACTGGTCAATCCTCAGATGGCTGCTATAGGTGTTTCCTGAGGCAGTTCTGCACGGTGTGCAAGCACTGCCATACGGTGTCTCTACCCTCTGCATGCAGACACTGAACTTTCCTCATGGAGATGATTCAATTCTATAAGGAGATGCTGATTGGCCAGGGCTGTGTTTGACTTGTGCTGGCCCTGCCCCTTATCTGCCTCCTTGACGGTGTCAGCCAATCCTATGGGGAAGCAATGTGATTGGCTCAGACCACCACTTTGATGATGTCAGCAGACAAGGACAGGTCAGAAGCAGACAGGGACAGAACCAGCAGCTACTTGAGTAAGATTTTAATATATTTAGGGAGGTAAGGAGGGAGTATGGGGACTAGATGGTGGTTTTAACACAATAGGCTCAGGAATACATGTTTGTGTTCCTGACCCTATAGTGATCCTTTAATTTACACTTCTTTTAGTAGTGTCACTCCCCACATATTTCAAAATCATACAGTTTTTGGTTTAAATGTGATGTGTTGTATCTTTCTTAAATGAAATCTGTATTTATGACTCAAGGAATAAAAATTGCACTGTGTGTACTAACACACCATGGGCTCCAGAATATGACAGTGTATCACAATGGCTGTGTTTTGGTGATACAACATGAGATTTCACAAGAGTATAGGAAACTGTGGACTGCAACCTGGACAACTCACTTCCCCAAACATGATTATTCCCAGCTCCACTCATCTTGTTCCACTATATAATACTGGGGTTTAGCCTTTTTTGGACCTAACTGCTACCTTACGATATTTGGGCTTTTTTTACCTTTAATTTTATTATCCTTCTTCAATCTCCAGTGGGGGACAAACACTGTGATATTGCGGTGTCCTCTGTCCCAGAAAAACTGCACAGCCAATGCAATGCCACGGCAAGAAAAAAAACAACGCAGGCCATGTCTAAAAGAAAAATAGGAAAGCAAGGTAAGAATTTTTTCTTAGCTATTCAATCAAGTAATATACTAGTAAAATGTCATTTGGGGAAAGGGGGAGGTTATTTCCACCCAATGCAAAGAGCAAAAATTAAGTCAAGCTAATTTTAAGTGGCTCTGTCACTCCCCCACCCCATACAAAAAAGAAATATTAAGCTTTTCATAAGGATCAAATATTTTAGGAAATGCTCATAGACTGGAGTTCACTGAAATTCCGACACACTGAAAATATATCACAGGAGTTCAATACTTTGTCTTACAGTTAAATAGTTACATAGGCTAAAAATAGACATGTGGCCATCAAGGCATCTGTTTTTGCTGTTGATCTCAAAGAAGGCAAAAAAAACAAAAACATTTGAAGCGCTTTCCAATTTTGCAACAAGACAAGGGCAGTCATATTTCTCCTTGGATCAAGAAGCTGTAATAAAACCTCTTCATGTATGGGACTACACATCCCTATTGTTTTTTAGCTTTCCATTGCCTTAGATTAGATCTCATTTCTTAATCTCTAGATGTGTGACCTGGTGTTCTATGTATAGTCCAGTTCATGAATAGATTTCCAAACAATGGTTTGTATTAGCCCTGAATATATTTTTATAATGCTATCATATCCCCTCTGAGGCATCGTTCTTCAACACTAAACCAATATACATGTAACCTTTCTTCATAGCTAAAATGTCCCATTCCTCTTACTAATTTTGTAGCCCGCCTCTGCACTTTCTCTAGTGCCATAATATCCTTCTTTACAACAGGTGCCCAAAATGGCACAGTATATTCAAAGTGTGGTCTTACCAGTGATTTATAAAGAGGCAAAATTATATTTTTACCTTTAAAATTAATGCCCTTTTTTATAGGACAATACTTCCGAGTTTGACAAATTTGCTTTCAATTTAGGATCCAGTTAAAAAAGTTAGGGGCCAGTCTAGTGGGATAAGGCAGCAGCAAGTGACAGGTTAGTGGGGCTGGTTGCAGCTGATGGGAGTAGGCAGCCGCTGTTCCAGACTCCCTCCTTTCTCCTCTTCACTGTCTCAGCAGCTCTCAATGTGCACCGGGAGGAAGTGAACTGTAATAACTTCCTCCTGGAGCTGAGGTCATGCAGGGGAAAGGACTGGTTGCCGGTGTTCCATCGGCTTTGCGGCATGGGGGCATGTTGGGTATGCGGCATGAGGGCAGGAGGCGGACAGGGAGCAGGGTCGGGTATGCGGCATGGGGGCGGGGAGCAGAGCTGTGTTTACCTGGTACCCTGCCAGGTTAGCTTGCAATTCCCCTGCATGGGAATTGAGACAGGAGGAGGAGGGATCGGGCTGACCAATCCCAGACGCCAGGACAAAATATTTAGTCGCCATGGCGACCTGGGATTTGTCGAGCCCTGCAATACTTTAATGGCCATAGCAACTGCAGATTGAGATTGCATATTGCTGCGTAGTTTGTTGTCTATAACAATTCCAAAATCCTTCTCATGTGCTATCCCTAATTCACTACCATTTAGGGTGTAAGTTGTTTGTGCCTGAAGTGCATAACTTTGCATTTTTCTACATTAAATTTCAGCTGACATTTGAGTGCCCAGTCACCCAATCTATCTAAATCCCTCTGCAGCAGCCATATCCTGCTCACATAATATTACTTTACAGAGTTTTTTGTCCTCTGCAAACATTGAAAGATGACTTTCAATATAATTTATAAATATGTTAAAAAGAAGCAGTCCCAGAACAGAACCCTGAGGGACACAACTTACTACTTTTGTCCAGCTTGAAGAATTACCATTAATGACAACTCGTTGTACTCTATCTTTAATCCAATGTTCCACCCAAGAACAAGAATTTTTGTTGTATCTATGCCTTAACAAAACTTGACAAACAGCGGAGCTACCACCATTAAGTTTTGTCATATCCCACAAGCTGAACTACACTGCTTTTACTGCAAGGTTTAAATGCCTCTAGTAGTAGGTGTCGCTCAGAATGCCACTAGACGCACTTCTGATGAGGGTAAAATGCTATCAGAGGATTTTAGAGAGACCATCCGAACGCACTGCAGGCTGTAGGAAAGCTTTAGATTGGTAAATGTCATCGAGTATTTAGTTACGTTTGACTACAGCAGGTCCTATCAACATTAAATGAATAAGGAGTGGGAAAGGGCATATTGCAGACAGACTTGTTGTATTGATGGATGAATCTCTAATATATTTCAGGTCAATGAGTCTGCATTTTGTTCTTACAGTACGTCACAAAATTCAGCTCAAAACAGAGGTTACTACTCCTGATGTATAGGAGTTTGCTCACAACATTCTGTAAATTTTTAAGTAGTAAGGGCTCTAAATTTCAAGTCTTGTACTACTAGACAAGCCTAAATTTTACTTGCCACTGCTGGAGAGTCCATGGCATATTTAACAAGGGTGAATATTTATTTATCAGGGCTGATTTTTCACTCCGCAATAGCTAGTAGAAAATATTGCTTGAGTCTGGCATATTATGCTGATGTATTATGCAATGCAACTATATATGGTTATCCTTTTGTATTTGAGATACTGTTTACTGCAGGGCTCGACAAATCCCAGGCGCCAGGTCTAAAATGTTTGCCAGGGCGCCTGGGATTTGTCAACTTTTTTTTATCTAAAACGCCTGGCGGGGCAAATAACAGAGTCGGCCGTCCACCAGCGGGAGCATGTAGGCGGCCGGCTACAACGCTCACTTAGCCGGCCGCCTACATGCTCCCTGGAGCTTCGTGGAGGTGGCCGGCTAAGTGAGCATTGTAGCAGGTCGTCCTGAGCTTTAGGGAGGTGGTCGGCTGGGGCAGCGTGCGAGGGAGCAGCTCCTCTCTGCTCCCTCGCGCTGTTTAATGATGCCGGGAACCGGAATATGACATCATTCCGGCCCCGGCATCACAAGGAGCAGAGAGGAGCTGCATGGTAGATTACTGCTCCCTCTCACACAGGAAGAGAGCAGCCCCACTAGACCCCATGGAACGTTCACTCAGCACTCCCAAAAGGTAGGGAGGCTGGGTGGATAAAAAATGTAAAAAAATAATTTGTGTTTGAGAAAGTGTATGTGTGTATGTCAGTATGCCTCTGTCAGTTTGTGTGTGTGTATGCCCGTCAGTGTGTGTACTTGTGTGCCCCTGTCAGTGTGTGTATGCCCCTGTCAGTGTGTGTGTGCCCCTGTCAGTGTGTGTATGCCGTTAGTGTATGTGTGCCTATGCCTCTGTCTGTGTGTGTGCCTATGCCTCTGTCAGTGTGTGTGTGTATACCTCTGTCAGTGTGTGTGTCTGTTTAGGTACCTGCGATCACGATTGGTGTTTTTACTCACCCCTTTTTCCCCACGCTGTGCAGGTTTTGCCATGGCTTGTTCCGACTCCATTGCCAAGTTCATCAATCTTTTTGATCTCAGCTAAGCCAATGCTTTCCAATAGGAAAGCATTGGGAGGATATTGTGCGTCTTCTGTATGGGTAACATTCAGCACGTCCATGCAGAGCACTGACACAGTGCTTTCACTAGAGGTCTTAGTAGGCAGCAATGTAAACAATGCCTTTTCTCTGAAAATGCAGCGTTTACATTGAAAAGGCTACAGGGACAGGCTAAAGGCACCAGAACCACTACATTAAACTGTAGTGGTTCTGGTGACTATAGTGCCGCTTTAAAAAAAAAAAAAAAAACTGGCTCCTAACTTTTTTAGCTGGCTCCTAGATTCCAAACAAATTTGTTAAGCCCTGGTTTACTGTATCATCTCTGAATGAATTGGGGAAGAAAAATAAGACTTTTAGGCCTGCCTAGTAGTATTATACAGTACACTAAAATATATTGTTTGTGCTATTCTGGTATATGAGTTATGTTATGTAGATATTGGCCCTTTTGTGCAATACATCTGCTATTAACATGTAAATTATATGGAGGAGGCTTAATAGATAAAACACTGTACAAAGGAGCAGTTAAGATTGGGGTTTTCAAAAGATGTGATGTGCGAAAGGACATCTATAAACTCAAATTTCAGCAAACCTTGAAGAGGATAAGCTTACAAAGTTGAGGCTTCCGTGAGCATGTGATAACCTAAACAAATGATTAGAAGAAATAATAGAATGTGGGCTAGAATTTTACATTTCCATTGCAAGCTGTTAACGGTGTCATAAAATTGGGAATATTTTCTGGCACTTTCATACCTATTGAACATCATTTCAATGCCACATCACAACGAAGTATTGTTATTGACAGTGGGCATCTTTTTATAGTTGCAGTACAGCCACTGCAATGTGTAGGTCCAATAAGAAATGGCAAATCACACACCATCTTGTGCCTGTTCAAATGCTGTTATATTAGAATATCTGTTCCAATATCCCTTTATAGTGCCTCAGGGTTTGAATATTTGAAAATGTGAATATCAGGCAGGGATGTGGAAATTAAAAAAAAAAAAAAAATCTACTTATCCACTCAAGTGGTAACCCAATTATCTTGTCCTTCTTGACAAGTTACTTGTCCTGACCCACAAAATAAGTTTAATTAGAAATACTGGGGTCCTTATCTAGAGCATCTCCCCCTATGTCCTTACTAGTAATGTGTTCATAGTGTGTCTGGTGTCTGTGTGTGCGCGCAGGCTGTGTTTAGTATGTGTGTGCTTTGTGTAATAAGTGTGTGCGGTGTCCGCTGGCTGTGTGTAACGTGTGGTTGGGTTTGTTGGCTTTGTGTAATGTGGGGGCATAGGCTGTGTATAATGTGGGTAATAATATTGTTTTGCCCCTTCCCCTGCAGCTTGCTTTCTTGCAGGAAGTGGTGTAGTCTATTATCACTAGTGGTCTAGGGGTGGGCTATATCTTGTAGTCCAGCATGGGTTTTAAAAATCTCTGGTAGTCCAGCAAGGGATAAAACTACAGCTTGAGGACTTTGCATTTTTCTACAGCGAGGGAGTGAGCCAAGAACAGGAGGGAAGCTCAGCAGCAAGCAGATTGGAATGCTGCTGCTGGGCCCGATGCCGCTCCACTGAGCTGACAGGAGTAAGAGAAATAAGAGGAATACTGCCCCGTGGGAAAGTAGCGCAGCCCAGACACACTTTTTGTGGGAGCCTGTAGCTTACATCTCCATCAGGTGCAAACCTTCCCATTCCAGTGCTCATGAGTGACTGCAACAGATGGAGGCTCAAACCACATGCTCCCTGGCCTACCCTGTGTCAGTCCTGCTGCTTGCCTGTGGTGGGGCTAAAGGGGGAATAAAATAGTCTTGCCCGGCGCCCAACATTTCCCATCCCTGCCATGTATGGAATGCTTTGAAATATTCATCATATTTAAAAGAGTAATTGCACAATAGAAAAATAAAAAATTTATATAATGGCACTAAAATATTTCAAATAACAATTCCTAAACTGCTTCACACTTGTGAATCTCACCCTTAATGTTACACCAAAAGAAAATGTGATATTGATACATTCAGTACAAGGTGGGCTTGACAGGTTACCAAAATATTCCATAGGGATTTCAGTCCTTGCTGACGCAATAACATCACATAGAAACACAGAATGTGACGGCAGATAAGAACTGTTCGGTCCATCTAATCTGCCCATTTTTTAAAAATACTTTCATTACTCCCTTGCCTTATCTCATATCGAGGATTATGCTTATCCCATTAATGCTCCTTCACTGTGTTAACCTCTACTACTTCAGCTGGAAGGCTATTCCATGCATCCACTACACTCTCAGTAAAGTAATACTTTCTGATATTATTTTTAAACCTTTGCCCCTCTAATTAAAGATTTACATCCTCTTGTTGTGGTAGTTTTTCTTCTTATAAATATACTCGCCTCCATTACTGTGTTGATTCCCAAATTGAATTTGAATCATATCCCTCCTCTCGTCTGCCCTCCAAGCCTTAACCTTTCCTGGTAAGTTTTCTCGCCTAAAAACCCCATGTTGAACTTCTATTCACATACTAAAGATCTTTCACACCTGCTCTGAGTCAGCAGCGTGTTTGTATTCCTCAGACGTCTAGATGTCTGCGAAAGCTCAATCGGGAGGTGAAATGCGTAATGCCAGGGATTCCATGTGAATCACAAGAGATGTTCTTGCCTTTCTGTATACCTGTGAGTGGACTGATTTAACATATGCTGTTGTCTCACCAGGATTTACATTAGCTGCTATATTTGCTTTTATGTTTAAAACAGCACTGTCACCGTGTGGGGACCTTGCAAAGACTCCCAACTGTAACATCATCGCAGGTAAAAGTGAGTTCTACTTACCTGAGCCTGTCCCCTATGGGCAGTGCCATCTTTTTCTGCCAGGTCCTCTTCAGCGAGAGTACAGCATTGAAGTCCATAGAGAACACCTATGAGATACGGCATTCTCCATAGAGAAAGCCAATTCCCTGCAGCCAGTGATGGCCGGGCGGGGGGATTAATACTTCTAGACGTCCGTAGCTCCTGTGTCTAGAAGTGTCATGTCCCTACTTTGTCTAAGTGTATTTCTTGACTGGGTCGGAATTTCAGTGACAGTGGCGCTTTACAATCCTTTTTTTTTTTTTTTTTTTAAACGTTGATACCAACAAAGAAAAAACAAGTTTGACAATACGGCTGTCTTAATTACTGAAAATAAAGGGTGGTGTCACATTATGAGAGACATGTAGCTTTTAGATGTATGGAGCTAAATTTAAAAACTCTTTTTCTAAGTAAGTGTGTTACCTCTATTACATATTGAATTAGCCTTCTTGTGATTATCGGCACGTTTTCTCCTTTTTTGTGAAAACTCCTAAAGTGACAGGAACCATTGAGTGGTACTATGTTACTTTGGGTTTTGTAAGAAAAGCACTCTTTTTTTCAAGTTTTGTATATTTAAAAGACTGTTGCTCATTCCTCTAAAATAAGACAGGAGAGAATTCTTGCAGAATACACATGCAGCTGAAAATCTTCAAGTAGTATGTAATGTTATTGCTAGGATCCCTATGGAATAATTAAGGTAACCTGTCAAGCCCATGTGTCAAAAATGTCAGGCAGTTCTGGAAGCCAAGCCTAGGGTCTTGTACCTTCTACTGAATGTATTTAATATACTGCCTATGGGATGTGAATGACTAGTACACTGCTGAGATCACCCAGATCACACAGAGATTTCCCAATGATTTCTACAAATACCTGGCATGAACCAATGTGATATGTATTCCATTACTTCAATAAGAACTCCCACAGGAGCTGAAGAGGGACCTCCCGATGGAGATGGCAGCGCCCATGGGGAACAGATTCAGGTTAGTAAAACCTATCTTCTCCTGCACGCCATTCATGCGATGTCACCATCGGGTATCTTTGCAAAATATGCAAATACCCCAGAAGGTGACAGAGCAATGTTAAAGGGATACTATAGTCACCAGAACAACTACAACATATTGTTTTTCCAAATGAAAGCATTGTGATTTGATCACATCACCACTTCTGATGATGTTAGGCAAGCAGGCAGATCAGGAGAAAAGCCAGCAGTAGCAGACTGGAATAAAGGTAAGGTTTTTACTATATTTAGGGGGCAAGAGGAAGCTAGGGGGCTAGATGGTGTTTTTAACACTAAGGTCAGGAATACATGTTTGTGTTCCTGACCCTGTAGTGTTCCTTTAAAAGGAACACTCCAGACACAAAGCATTTCAACTTGCTGAAGTGCATAATGTATGTGGAGTCTGTCATATTTCTGACATTTTATAAAAAGGCTGATTTCCATAGAAATTGGTATTTTTATATTTGGATGCAGAAAAGTTTTTAATTGAAGTGGCAGGCACACTAAGCTAGGACATGCCTAACTTGCCAGCTTCTGAATGACCTGTACCACTGCACATTGAAAAGCATCGAAAAACTGCTGTTTTCAGCACAGAGAATTATTAATAATAGAGTATTAGTGTATTACCTGGGGATAGAGAAGGCTTGCAAAGATTGCACACAACAGGTCTGCAGCTCGTGCAAAATAATATTTTTTTCACATACTCCCAAAGTAAACATGCAGAAAAAATGCATAACTGTTATTTGTGGTATATCTGCTAAATAGCTTCTTTTTTTTAATTCAATAGGGTGTTGCTTTATGAGTAAAATGATTGTGACACAGGCCTACATTTCTGATTCATAAAAATGTGTCAGTTTAATGATACACAAATATTGTGTATGCCTTTTAAATTAGTTCTGAATCAGAAAATATAAGCTTTATGTTACACTCATGGTTTAAGAAAAAATGTGCAGATTTAATTTGCTGTAATTAGATATTGCAGGATATGACAACCCCCAAAGTCCACGTATTAAGGATTTTACAATCTTCCCTTCTTACTCACATCATGGCCACATTACTGCCATCTATTATAATATGTCTCAGTTGATCATTCCCCTTTTCATTTCTTAAATTAAGTTGGAATGGATTCTGTATGGTTTCATTAAATCTCTGGGCTCCAGTCACCACAGGGACACTTTGCTCTTCCTTGCTAGGCATCTTTTTGGCTCCATCCCTTTCTCCAACATCCTGATGGACAACTCCAGGAAATAGGTCCTCCACTGGATGGTTTTCGAGCACTGTCTTTTGTGCTAATAAGTCTGACATCACCATTTCTGGCTGAGAAATGTTTGGATTTGTCCTTGGTTGCACACTAGAAACTCCTTCAAACAACTGCTTAGGCTCTAGATTTACTGGTCTCTGAACAGGAGATGAGCTTCTGTCATCATCAAAAATGTTTTTTTCATTAAGTTTCCTAAGCAGGCCTGCTACAGAACCATCGCCTATATCCACAATTTCACTTGGAGAGTATCCACAATTCTTAGCAGCTGATTTCACTACACCCAGAAGATAATTATCCTCATCATTACTTGAGGAGGTATTCAATTGTAGAGGTTGGGTATCTGGCATTTCTTTCATCTGACTGCTGATACACTGCTCAAGTTTAACCTTGTCCAATATCTTAGAGGGTTCCTGTATTCCATTCTCTGACAGTACCTTTAGAACAATAGCTTCTTGATATCCCATAGTTTTGAAGAAATCCAAAAGCATGTTGAATTCTTCCTGAGTGTCTAATGAAAAGCTGCCTTGGGACATTTGATCTCCTTCATCCCTTCCCATAATGGTATCCAGCAATCCAGAAATTTGCTCAAACTCTTCATTATCAGACCCAATTATTTCACTTTCATCAAACTTTTTGTTTTCAGGATAGTCTCCAAAGTCTTCAGTCATCTCAATTGTTGTTTTTTTCTTGGTAAACATTCCATTTGGATTAGTTTCTTGTTTACTTAAATCCCACTTATCATTTACTTCAACATATGGACGAGGCTCACAAGCTCTCTGATGTAAAACACACTTAGGTTTTGCTTCTGTTCTCGCCGTATTATATGATTTTGGACCATGTTCACTCTTCTGAGGTTTATGGAACTGTGCATTATAGAAAGGATCAAATTCCTCAACTATGTTTGATTGGGTGTCATAATATCCATGCTGTGGCTTTACCTCAGTTACTTTTTTCTGCAATATTCCATTGAGACTGTCTTCATGTACTAGATCAAGTAGCTGTTGCTTAACTGAAGTTGGGAGAATAAGAAGATCTAATGCATAATTATCACTATATTCCTCAACGAGATCCTTAAAATTCCGTTTAAACTGGGCTTCTTTGTCCTCGGGGGTGGAGTTGGATGGATAGCTTTCAAAAAACGCATGGACTCTGCTCTGGCCCATCACTACTCCTTCAATTAAGCCAGATATCCTAATACGTCCAGGAGTTAAAGATTTTACACATGCTGATGTTGCTCGAATTAAACAGTCAAGAAAGATACCTTTGGCTCCAACAAAGATACAATACATATCCCGCGGGTAGTTGATGTCTTCTATTATCTCCGGAGTGCATAGCCCTTTAATATAGTCCTAAATTGAAAAAAAAGTTATATCTTAAATATAGATTCTCTTTCAAATCCCACTACTTAATTGACAATAAGGTACTGAACAACTATGTAAGTTAAACCTTAAACATTTAAATAAACAGTAAATAAAATACACCATTACAGAAAAGGCATTAGTAAAGCTCTATTACATATTATTCTAATACCTGCTTAGCCAAATATGAAGTCTTAGGTTTGGTTCTTTATGAAGTCTAATTTTATGAATGTCCACGACTCCAACTAAATATGTACAATTACTAATCAGCTACTCGACAACCTTTCCCATAGAACAATGAATATTCCCTTGTACCAGGGGTTTGGGTTAAAATAAGTCACAAATATTTACAAATATGTACACATGCTGCCATTTTAAATTGGCAAATATTTATGTAGTTTTCCTGCATAGTTTTCACAAATCTGCTTAACTTTGAATTTTATAACATGACAGGAGGCTTCGTATTTGCTTAAGTCGCTCTTTACTAGAACTCCACAGCAGCACAGAAAAACAACCAATCAGAAAATCTTTGCTGCTCCACATCAGTACAGGTCAGAGTACCACTGCCTCCTGCTAATATTAGTTGGGGGCATTGGGATTTAGTATGACTTATTTATTATTTATATTTTTTAGAACTGTGGTGGTTTTATGGGGGGTTTACTGGGGATACCCTTCAGCTTAGCCCCTTTGTATTTCACCCTCCCCATCACCCCACTCTCTAACACTCTGCTGTTAACCCTCCCCCGCAGGCTGTAGGCGCTTCGCTCGGGGTTTCAGTCTTTTTGCTGCCTCCTCTGATGCCCCAAGCTCCAGTGTGAGCCTGCAGGCTCCCGGGGTATCTCACGGTCGGACGCGAGTACCCGGAGGCCAGACCGCTCACACAAGTGGCTACCTCACCGCGCGGCTCCTTCCAAAAACCACGTGTATCCACTTGCGGGCCCTCCTCCAACCACGCTTCCCTGCTGGGGTCTGGCTCTGTAACATGATGCATACAGAGCCAGAAGTCAGGTAGCTCACTCCAAATCTCATCAACAACTTACTAGTCATTGATAGGGTTTTCGCTGTACATGTGGCCAGTAAGGGATCGTTGTGGGCTGAACTGATAACATGGCTATGCCCTGCAGCCAATAACTCTCCTCACATTATCTACCTCCTATTAGATCAAGAGTAAGCACACTGGTTACAGACTTGCACTTGGAATCTTCCTCCAAGGGTTCGAATCCCCTGTACAGCAAGAGTCCAAGCATTGCAGTCACAAAGTCCCTGCTGTGTATTTACACGCTTACTAGAGGAACATGTGGATCAAGTGCGCCCATATTCTTTGTTGGATTTGATATGATGCATAGGACACGTGAAGCTTTTATATTGCACAATTATGTAAATATAAAAATCTAAGCAGACCTGACTGGCTCAAACTGGGATGAGAGACCAGTCCATGCTGACACTAATTCTATTCAGATGGTATATTGATGAAGGGATTTTGAAGGGATCTCAAATAGGTCGGCAGCTTCATGTGCATTACCAAAGTTATAACATAACACATTTATCACACTGTACATCATGATTTTATGGACACTATAATCACTGGAACATTTTCAGCCTATATCCGTTACAGCTGGAATACCACTATTTTGCCTGCTGGGCATTTAGGGAATGCTACTCCCAGTTCAGGTTTATTGACACTGTATTGCACTGTCAAAAAGGGTTGGCGTCTAGGGGTCCTATGTCACAGGGTACCCTGAAGATTTACAGATGTTTGGGGGACTCTACCCAAACACAGGGGTCCCTTCTCATTCGTTAAGACGCAACCCAGGATTGGCCTGCTCTGTCTGTGCCCCTTTGATTGGCCTGCTATGTCTGTGCCCCATTGATTGGCCTGCTACGTCTGTGCTACATTGATTGGCCTGCTACCTCTGAGCCCCATAGATTGGCCTGCTACCTCTGAGCCCCATAGATTGGCCTGCTACCTCTGTGTCCCATAGATTGGCCTGCTACCTCTGTGTCCCATAGATTGGCCTGCTACCTCTGTGTCCCATAGATTGGCCTGCTACCTCTGTGTCCCATAGATTGGCCTGCTACCTCTGTGCCCCATAGATTGGCCTGCTACCTCTGTGCCCCATAGATTGGCCTGCTACCTCTGTGCCCCATAGATTGGCCTGCTACCTCTGTGCCCCATAGATTGGCCTGCTACCTCTGTGCCCCATAGATTGGCCTGCTACCTCTGTGCCCCATAGATTGGCCTGCTACCTCTGTGCCCCATGATTGGCCTGCTACCTCTGTGCCCCACTGGCCTGCTCTGTCTGTGCCTGAACCCCATTTGGCTGCAGGCCTGGGGGAATAGCACTGAGGGGAGCTCAGCACCCACTATTGACATGGTGATAGGTGTCCAGGCAAGCTCTGCTGCCATACCAGTCCAATATACCAGTATACGAGCACCTAAGTATGATTGGAAGGGTGAAGGCCATAAACCTCATGTCCAAAGGGGCAAAGATTTTATGAAGATTCCCGGACACGCAACCACGGTTTACGCCAGTCCAGCGGTGGAACATCTACAAGGAGAACTTCGCACATGCAGGGACCAGTGCTCGGACGCCAACAGGGGAACACAGTTTCCTTACTTTTCGCAACTAACCCTTTAGCTGCCTTTACGGTATCCATCTTAGGTATTGGTAGTTGGTCCTACATCATGTTTACCCTTTCAGTTGGGTTTACTTGACTTGCTGGTCCAATCTGCTATTTACCTTCTCTCCGAGGTACGTATTTACCGTTATCTACATTGATTGTAATTTCTTGGTTGTCGAGCCTTCCAATTGTCCTATCACTCGGGTCGTCGAGAGGCCTGACTTGACCTCCTCCGACCTCGCAGATTGCGGAGAACGTCTCCAGCTTTCCTCAGGCTACCGACGGTCATCCTGGACCCCGCATGCACGCACACGGGATCCGGACAGTCAGTGGCACTTTCGCGCCATCCCTTTCAGTTTTTAAGGATGGACACGGCCCGAGGTTGTATACTATTCCATCTGCCGTCGGTCTGAGAGAGACCCACCTCAGGATCTCCGTCTTATGCTGGTATTAGTAAATGGTGTACCCCTGCAGTTGGTCATCCTGAGTCTCTAAGGGACTCTAATTGGGATTACAAGAGGGTGCGGCCCTCCGTCACCTCGATCCGTGAATGATATTTTATTTTCACGAACAGAGAGCGAACCCCTCTAACATACAGAACCGGACAATGATCTGTTATTAGAGGGTGCAATACTGAGCTGGATACAGAGGACATGTTTTGAGTGACAAATTCCCGTGGAGAGAACCGGTCACGGAGGTGGACTTTGGCTATTAATGGGTGCGGCCCGCTCAGACTATCAGCCGGACACTGACACGGAGTTCGGTCACATTATTAGAGAGCACGGCTCTCTCGTCCACTCAACGCACTACGGTGCCATCCATTTGTTCGTCTCACGGGCTTGTACCAGTACAGGACAACGATGACTGCATAGAGGGGCGTCCCTCCTGCATTCAATTAGATCTAACGACCGTGCTACCGATTTCATTATAGAGGGCTATAAAAATGAGAACAGTAAGTGGGAACAAAAGTGCTTAAAATCGTGCAGGCTAGCCACTCCAATTCAGGGATCACTCCCAATCCCAAACAATACAAGCCAACAAATTAGTATAGTTTAAAAAACATATACCATATATAGAGCTCTTGAAAAAGTTGGTGAGACGAAACGCGTCGAGCAGGTTGAAGCTTGCCAGCACCCCCACAGATTTGTATTGGACCATACTACAGACTTGGACTTCAGCTACATATAGACTGACCACCATTGACTCTGGAGAATCGGATCCACTGTGCAAAGGGGTATTTAGCCCAGGAAGGGGCTGACAAGCTCTTATAGCACAATTTAGACGTATGTCCTTATTGTGCCAATACTCTTGTGAGTGCCTTTTTTTAAATCTTTTTATCATTTGTATCTGTATCATTAAATACTTCACTATATACTGTTCTATTTTTATCTCTTTACATGATGATTTGTGTCTACCATTTGGTAAATATAACTACACGTGTGTGATTGTGGCGCCCCCGGTGGTGTACATTATAGAGGGCTGCCTGATCATGCAGGATATATATATTTAGACTGGATCCCTCCTTTGCACCTCCTGTAATGAATCTACTGGATCCGGGCCACTGTACCACATGAGTAATACTCAGAGGTATAACGGGGGAGACTCACGCTTATTTACACACACTCCTGGGGACGGTACGGCTATCGGATGAGCCTCAGGTATTACAAGAGTGCAGATTTTTGTATACTCTGCACTATATAAAACAGGCAATTGCATGTTTTAGATATCTGGATCAGTGCGAACAAACTGCGCAGACAGTTTTTCCCATATCAAGATGACATGAGATACTGAGACCTTCCTAGAGCAAATGGGCACTGCCTTGCTCGGGTAACAAGACTAGGGAAGACCCACTAACCGGTCTGCAGGCACACCGTACGCATGGAAAGACCGGAAACCCTGGTTGACTTGAGTTCCCTGGTCGTTACAATCTTAGGATAAGATGACAGGAATGCTCCTACCCCTCTGAACACATATCTGGAGAACATGGTTCGGATATGGAGGGCCCTCCGTATATACTCTATATCCCTCACGGGAGCCGTCTTGGTTTGGGTTCTCGCTAACCCATTTTTCAACTACCATCAAGGGGACCTACGAGACTCTATGGAGGTACCCGGTGTGCCCCGACTCCTTCACAGACGTCAAAGTCGGGTCGCAACCTACCGCTGGAGTATGGCTCAGGATGTGTAGCAGACTCCGATAGGGCTGCCGACATTCTCAAATGGGACAGCACATGATTCGGACGGTTGAAGCTAGACCCTTGTTTTTTCCATCATATCTGCTCTCTGGAGTCACCTGTTGTGAGCGAAGCGACTTTACACCTTGCCTGCGTATTGGAGAACGCTATGTGTTCGCAGGACTCCAAGCTAAGAAGGGAGGTATCCCTCTATAGGGAGACTTTGACTTCGGTTATCGAACTCACATTTCTGGGTCCCTTGACCTAGGGCCTACTCTGGGAGATAAGTGCCCGAACCGTCATAGGTACGGGGACCTGGGGTCTCACTATATTATACCCCTATCTTGTAGGTGGAGTGTACACCAGGAACCCCTACATGGGTTTTGACAGGTCGGGTATGGAACAGGATCGTACTACAGGTAATCGTATTATTTCACTCTCTCACTACTTGTTATACTGGTCCTAATCACCATTGGATCCGTACATCTTATCGCTCTCAGGTGATGACATATCTGGATGGAAATCTTAACTCCGGTTTACATTCCCCATCCCTTTGAATATTTCCAGGACTCACTATTCCCAGAATAGTCGACCACCGCTCCACCACACAAGTTCAGTTTGGTACCCTGATTGGACGTTCTTTTGGAGTCCTTTCTCTACCGCAGCGGAGGATTACACAGTCCATCTGGAAAAATGGAATCACTTAGGATACAGCTAGTTTGACCACACTCTTGCCGGCATAATAAACGTATTCTCGCATGAGACATCTCACTGGGTAGGCCATGAGGGAATGGAAGATCCTACTCGGTTATATTACAGAATTGATGATGGACTTTGGAGCATTTCTTGGAATTGGAGATCTACCTGCAAGGACACATAGCCAGATGTCCCTGGCAAGATCGGAGGAGCCACCTTACATATCAAGAGTCGAAACATGGTGGCAGTTTCTTCTCGCGGCCCTAAGTCCGCAAATGACCTTCGACATTTTACAACTACAGGTCAGCTTGGCAGCTCATGGACCGGCTACTAGGAAACAGGTCGCAATCCCACGTACAATGGATCTACCAGCGGATGGTGTTTTTTCCCGTATTTGGGATGCTTCATCAGCTGGCATCTTCATCGATCCGTCTACTGCCATTTATCGCAGTTGGAAAGTCCATTCAGGATTGCTCTGATATCTCCAGGAATAGGTACCAGTGAAACAAACAGCATTGGATTTGTTGACTGAGCGTTAAAACAGCAAATACGAAGCCTCCTGTCATGTTATAAAATTGTAGATTATGTTAGCTTTAGTGTACCTATAATCTTAATTTTATTAATGACAGGAGGCGAGTATTTCCCACCCGTTCTTATCCCTCCCTTGTTTAATTTTAATAGTTTGAGTCCATCAGGTATGTATGCAACTCTGCTTGTTGTCTCTGCTACCTGTCACTTGTTCTTATGTCTGTTTTTCATAAGTAGAGTTGGGATCTATGCAGGTTACGGTAAAATTTGGGTGATTGCATTGGGTACCTACATGCTTGTACAAAGTACATTTCATTGGCTAACCAACCTGTTCGACTCAGTTTCAGTTTACAGTCCATCAACACTATCTGGTTCGACAGCTCTTCTCGGATGGTGGACGTGGTCGTTTTCATTATATCTAGGACTTTGTTTCTTCCCCATTATATTTTCTGTATTTTGTTCTGTCTTGTTGCAGCTTGAAAGAGGAAATGATGTGTGGGAAGGGGAGTTTTATAGTACCTAACTTTTTTCTGATTGGTTGTTTTTCTGTGCTGCTGTGGAGTTCTAGTAAAGAGAGACTTAAGCAAATACTCACCTCCTGTCATTAATAAAATCATAGGTAGACTAAAGCTAGCATAATCTACAATTACTTCTGAAATTATACATCCCTTTAGGTTCATGTGTTTATGCACACAGTTAATACGAATGAAAAGTCTAGTAACAAGATGAAGTGAGTGTATATATAATTTGAAATTAACACTCCAAGCTCCATAAACAGGAATGTCCTGAATAAGTAGTCAAGCAAATGGTTTGACAACTTACCTGGGTTCTGTTGGGCGCCGGTCAAACCCTCTTGAAGAGCTAGAAGCAGAAGCACCAATCTAACCCTGTGGTGCAAGACATAGCTCATTGTCTAAGATCACTCTGCTTACGTTGCTTGGATTGTTCATTTATTATAGGGTGTGTATGTATATATATATATATATATATATATATATAAACACACACCCCTTTTGAAGCAGTCTTGCACTCCAACTCCTTTACACGAAAAGTTCTGCCCAGGTGCAGAGCAACACTTAAAAATAAAGGTCCCAATGTACGTCAAATTTATGAACATAGATAAACTGAAATGTCGACCATTGTTTTTTGGATTTATGTTTGAATAAAGCATATTGATTTTTTTGAAGACCTCGAGTGCTAGCATACATTTATGTATACACACACATATACGGTTTAATAGGTTGGCCTCATACACAGTCTAATAAAGAGGATTTGGAATTAAATTATGGGACTAGATTCACGTTTTAATGAAGTGTTCTGTATTATGTGCAAGATAGATGTGTAAGACTGAACCAGATAAACCAAGAATGGTACATAAATAGAAACAGCAAACTCCAATTCATTCCCAGTGTGCATGATGTACATAGTGTAATGGATTGGCCGTGGATTATGTATATAGGATGTACACAATTAAGCAAAGTGTTCTGGGGATTCTATGCATGGTGTACACGGTCTAATAGGGCGCTCGGTGATTACACTCCAGATACACATCGTTTAACTTGATGTAAACACGGCCTTTCTTACATCAGGCCTGTCTCCCAAACACCCCGATATCTCACCTTTGCCTTCTTTACATTTCTCTCGTCTCCTTGGAGTTGAAGCCACATTTGTTGACATCCTCCAGCCTGCAGAGGGAATGCCGCCTGGCTGAGGACCCCTACAATATTCAGGGTGACTCCGAATAACCTCTCCACGTGAGGTTGCTGGTCTCGCAATTCCCTCTCACAGCCCTCCGGTACGGCAAACTCGTCCACGCTGCGCCTAGTGTCTTCTCCGGCCGCATGCTCCCTCATAGACCCGGGCATGGCTGCCAGCAACAAATGTCCCCAGGTTCAGTGCACTGGGAGGGAAGGGACATCGGCTCTGCCCCCTAGCCTGCAGACTGTTTATATCTGGAAAGCAGAAGTATCTTTTACAGCAGTCGTCTTGTACTCCCCCTGGTGCCCAGATAGGAGTCTCTGTTTGAAGTTCCCCAGGTTGTGCCCTCTGTGTCCTCCTTCCTTGTTTTGGTCCAGTTCCTGACCTGCTCCTCCTCTGGCTAGCCCACACCCTGTTGCACACTACCTGCTGCAGATCTGCATTTACTTTCGTTTCTACTTACCCAACCATCTACCTACCACTTTCTGCCCCTAAATGACGCTCACCTACCCCGGAACTTGCTGTATTTGTTATTTTTAGAATATCACCTTTCTTTCAGATTGCTTTAATACCCCTGCCAGTGTGCTCACACATGTTCCGGTGCTCAGCGTCGAACATTCCAACTCCCTCCTTATTATTCTGTTTTCGAACGCAGCGTTAGTTTATATTTTATTTTGGGGGCTTTGCGTGTCTCCCCTCCCCATCGATGACTAATAATGGGAAGTTCCAATATGTCACATGAGGGGAATTCCATTTGGTTGGCTCAGATAGGGGAGGTGCTGTGAATGTTTTGGTTTTTTTTCAGACGTGAAGGGCAGTTTGTTGTCAGTTACACAGAACCTAAATGATCTTGTGCTAAAGGACCTCGTAACAAAGTGAAATATATGCTATTTATACATTGTGTTAGTATAACGTGTTTGCATTCTTCTAGAAAGAGTATTAGCTTAGTGACTTAACTGGGAGTTGTGGGAAACCGACACTATGAAATTAAATGACCAGTCTGATGCGTTTCAAGTCGCATGCTTTTACATGAAACTTGTCAGACTGGTCTGTCCCACTATTTCCCCTGATGCTGTTTTTGATAGTGTTTTGTTCAAAATACATAAAGAAGAATATTTTATGTATTTATTTAGGCATTACCCTGGTGAGGTCAGACTATTTTTTTGTTTGTTTGTTTTACAGAGTCCCCGTTTTATTTTACTATTCTTGATCTCAGGTTAATTTTTTTTTTTTTTTTTGCAATACAATGTCAACAGCTATCAACCTTTACAAAGAAACAAGTCCTGCGCTCAAACTCCTCTTACTCCTGGGCGGCAGCAACGACCATAGTACATATCAGCCAAAATACATATAGTAAAAACCAAAGAAAAAAGTTACCTGCGCTCTTTCCACATCCCTATGTATTTTTAAACAAATGTTACCTCCAATGGCCATGAAAGGGTATGCCCGCCTGCCACGTCAAGGCAGACCTCTAAGTTTTGTCCTAACTCTAACCATTCATCTTGCTTCCTTGAGCTTCTGGCAAAGATATCTCTAATGAGAGAGAAAGGGGTATTTTTTATATACACCCCTATATATTTATTAACCCTTAATAGGGAACACATAGGATGGGTGGCAGCACTGTAACAAAGCTGTGTGATACAAAAAATGCATTTGTGAGATGGAAGTGACAGGATTTGGCGATTGATTGGACATGAGGGGTGAAGGAGAGGTCAGAGTCAAAGAGAACACCTAGTCAGTGAGCCTGCGAGGTAGAGCTGATGGTGGTGCCATTGACTTTGAGGAAAACAGACAAGGGAGTAGCAACATGTGAGGGAGGGAAGACCAGAAGTTCTGTTTTGGACAGGTTAAGTTTAAGGAAATGAGCAGCCATCCAGTTGGAAATAGCAGACAGGCAGTCAAAGACACAAGTCAAGAGGAGTGGTGAGAAATCAGAGGAGGACAGGTAAATTTGCATGTCATCCGCATAGAAATGATACTGGAAGCCGAAGGAGCTGATGAGTTTACCTAGGGAGGCAGTATAAATTGAGAACAATCGTGGACCAAGGACAGACCCTTGAGGAACACTAACAGAGAAGGATTAGGGAGAAGATACAGAGCCAAATAAAAAAACACAGATTGAGCGTTGGGAGAGGTCAGATGAGCACCAGCAGAGAGCGATATCTTGTAGTCTGACATTACAGAGGATGAGAAGAAGCAGTTGATGATCAACAGTATTAAAAGCAGAAGAAATGTCAAGGAGAATTGGTGTAACAACAAGCACAGTATGACTGCAAAGGACAAATGGATTATACGGCCGTTCTGTATTTTTTGTAAGCATTCACCATGCGAATGCTTACCTGCCTTAACAGGCCACCCTGACTGCTAATTATGGCCAATTGACCTCCCTGGTTGATGGGCACTTTATTCGAATCAACAGCACAAACGCTATGGGAACTGTAAGCTCAGCCGCCATTTCGGGACTTACACGTGTTCTCGGCCATTTTAACTCCCGAACAGCGGTGTTTGCCGATGAATGTCTGGAACTAAAATCGGACACTCAAACAGGCGAACACAGCTGAGACCTCCATACCTTTGGGAAAACATCGCCAAATCTACCGAACGACCGGGCGTTCTGTAGAAAGAATTAGCAGCAGATGGGGATTTCAACGAACCCAGGATGGTATACGGATGGCCAGCCGTTCGGGAGTTTTTACCCACGTTCTTAGACCGACTGCAGGGCCAGCATTCATGGAACTATTTTCGGCTACTGTGCCAAGTATTTGGGGTACATCCAAACTTTGGGGAAAAACTGTTCCTTTTTAATTATGTTATGTAGTTATCTGAGGGGAGGGAATTTACCGAATGTATATTGTATGGATTGGTTGTACTGCTAATTATGTGGGTGTCTCCCTTGCATGGGCAGAATCACATAAAAGCAGAGTGTCTGACCCTTCAAAACGTAGCTTCGTCTCGTTCTTGAAAGGGGAATCTCTGCAGCTTAATCACTTAGCTCTTTTCAGAGCTACACCTGGCTTCCACTCCTGATCCTGCAGAAGGGAATAGGCGACTCCATCACTACACAGCGACTGCCGGGAAGAAAAGGATGTCCCTAACGGCTGGTACCCTCTCTACACTAGGGTAGCCGTTACAATTGGGATAGTGTAGTGGCCACAAGATTTTGCAGTGATAAGATCATTGGATACTTTGGTCACAGCTGTTTCAACAGAGTGACAAGCGCGCAGTGATAAGATCATTGGATACTTTGGTCACAGCTGTTTCAACAGAGTGACAAGCACAGAACCCAGATTGAATCGGGTCAAGCAGAGAGTTGGCTTCGAGGAAGTCTGTCAATCTCTCATAGACAACTCTTTCAAGGATCTTGGAGGCAAACGGCAGTAGCAAGATAGGGCGGTAGTTGGACTGGAAATTAGGGTCAAGATAGTTGGACTGGAAATTAGGGTCAAGGTTGGGCTTTTCAGAATTGGGTTTTGGTTGCATGTTTGAAGGGTAGAGGAAATATGCCAGAGGAGAGGGAGAGATTGAAAATTTTAGTGAGAGGAAGAACACAGGAGGCGACAAAGTGCGGATGAGATACAAGGGAACAGAATCAAGTTAACAGGTGATGGGGCGGGAGGACAGGAGCAGAGCAGAAGCCTCTTCTGCTGTAGCGGGTGCAAATGAGCATAGGACAGCCGAGGGAATGTGGATGGGGGAGATGGAGAGAGGTGAGAGATTTCTTCCCTGATTGTAGAACTATTCTCAGTGACGTAAGTTGCAAAGCTTGTGGTGGTCAAGTTGGTAGGAGGAGAAGGCACAACAGGGCAAAGAAGAGAGTTAAAAGCATGAAACCGGTGTTTGGGTTCATAGGAGAGTGTGGTTATGAGCGTATTGAAGTAGGAGGGCAAATGTGCAGAATTAAATGTTGATAATGTTCTTCAGAAGGCAATCTTGCTTATGGCAACTGGATCAGCTGACGATGGACTGAGTTCTGTTCTGATGTGAGGCAGGCTCGTTTTAAAATTAGACTTGCTTATGGCAACTGATGCATTATAGCACATTGAATCCAATGTTACAATAATCACTGTTGAACTGACTACATACAATGCCTGAGATGTTAATCAACGTTTATACAACAAAGCAAACTCCTAGTGCAATCTGTGTGAAATGACAAGGCTTGTAAGAAATTGATGCGCAAGACGCTGCAATATTGTATATAACTTTCTGTGTATGTGACTGGTTTCACAACTTGGGATCATCTACTTGATAACAGTGCGATCATTATCAAAGCTTTCAGTTGTGTTTTATAGCACTCAGCTTAAACAACAATAGCTGACATCCCTCCAGCACTCTTCCTGCCAACCAGTTTTTCAAACATGTTATCAGACTGTCAGAGTAATTAACATCTAGATGTAAACATGCACGTATTTGTTTTTCAAAACCATCCTGTCTCTAAAGCAGATTGGACCTAAACCCAACCTACCCAAAAACCCACCCTAACTGGCAGGGCCGGACTGGGGATACAAAGCAGCCCTGGAAAAAAAATTTGTGCCAGCCCCATAAGTCACTGCGCCATATATTGTCGCGTGTAATATGTAAGGCTATGTCTTGCCAGGACAGATGATTGAGTAATATATATATATATATATATATATATTGCTTTTTCTAATATAAAATATTGGTCCTTTCAGGGTAAAACGTTTAATTATACAGTAAGCATATGCACATGCAGACACAGGCAATTTCACTGACATTTCAGTGACACACACAAGCTCATTGATACACAGCCTCATAGACAAACAATCTTACTGATATACATCAGCTCATTGACATAAAAACACAAGCTCACTCACTAGCAGGCACACGCATGCAAGCAAGCTCACTCACTAGCAGACGCACACACACAGCTTAATGTGGTGGTACTGGTGTCTATAGCATGTCCCTAAAGGCTTTTCAACGTAAACACTGACTTTTCAGACAAAAGGCAGTGTTTACATTGCTTCAAAGTGACACTGCTAGTGACAGTCACTCAGACGGTCACTAGAGGTGCTTCCTGTGTTAGTGCCCTCCCGCCCTCGCGCGCTGCTGAATGAGACTGGCGCCGGAATATGACGTCATATTCCGGCGCCGGTCTCATTCAGCTGCGTGCTGGGGAGCAGAGCCAGCGCAGCTCGCGCAGCTCCCTCAGCGGCCGCCAGGACAAGTCCGCCAGCGGCCGCCAAAAGACCTCCCCAGCGGCCAGGGGAGGGCTGGCAGCCTTAGGCCTGGGGGGCAAAACCAGTCAAGTAGACTGGTGCACCTGCCCAGGATCAGAGCCGGTGCAAGGATTTTTGCCGCCCTAGACAAAATAAAAATTTGCTGCCCCCACATGTCACATCACAATGCCCCACCCATATGATCTGCCATATGAACTAACGCCAGTGCTGCACACAGTGTGTGTTTACATTAAAAAGCCTGCAGGGACCAGCTATAGACACCAGAACCACTTCATTAAGCTATAGTGTCCCTTTAATGTGAGGTAAATTATAGATTAGTGTCACTAATAATATACTAGATTGCCTACTTACAAGCAGATGAGGATGATGATGGGCTGCAGTTTGGCTCCACTGGTCTGGTGTAGAACAGGATCTCTGGAGGCTGTTTGCAACTGTGGTCACAAAATTCAATGTTCTGGGAGAATTGGAAGCAGCTCAATTTTTTGGGGCCCCTTACACAGCTCAAGGTCTGGGCCCCAGGGCCTGACGGTGAGTATGCCCATAAGGCCCACTCATAAGTTCCACCCACCCATGAGTTCGCTCACAGGGAGTGGAGTGTGTAGGGGATGTGTTATGTGTTATTGTAGAGGATCTAATATGTGTGCTTATGGTATGTAGTGTTTAGGGTTACCAGTTTGTGCAGGTGATGCAGTGTGTTTGTGTGTAGTGGAAGCAGTGTGTATTTGTGTATAAGGGATGTATTATGTGTTTCTGGTTGTGTGTAAGGGATGCATTGTGTGAATCTGTGTTTGTATGCATAAGGATGCAAGGTGTGTGTCTGTATGTGTGTGCATGAGATGCATTGTGTTTCTGTGTGTATGTAAGAAAAGAAGTGTGTGTGTTTGCATGCGTGTGTACGGGTTTGCATTGTCTGTTTCTGTGTATGTGTGCAAAGGATGCATTGTCTTTGCGTGTAAGGGTTGCATTGTGTGTGTAATGGATGCATTGTGTGTTTCTCTGTGTGTAAGGGAAGCATGTTGTGTTTCTGTGTATGTATAGGGATGCATTGTGTGTGTGTGCGCGCGTAGTGTGAAAGAGCTCCCTGTCTTGGCCCCTGTCCTATAGAGCTGCCCCTTCTTCTTATTCCCCTCCCTCCCCTCTTCTTATTCCCCTCCCTCCCCTCTTCT